AATTTAAAATTTAAATTTTTGGATATACTTGTCCTATTAAACTACCCCTCTTGCCAGCCCCTTCAGACCCCAAAGCCTCCTCTCCTGGGCTTTAGAGGCAGCCTCCCCTCCACTGGCAGCCAGGCCTCGCCACAGCTAGCCAACCACCGTGCTCATCACTACCTGTTTTGGATCCAAAACAAGATGGAGGCTCCTAACAGGCAAGGGAGGTGGGCAGCTGTCCTGCGCTGGAGCAGGGCGCCCGAAGCAGCAGCAGCTGCTGCCCTCCTCCAGCGCCACTTGTCTCCTGCTGCTGGGCTTCAGCCTCACCGAGGGGCTCTTCCACTCCAGGCTCATGTCAGCTGTCAGTGCGGCGGCGGAGGAGGAGGTGATATTCTTGCCGAACAGGTGAATCGCCTCCTCCTCTGCCACCGCTTCACTGACAGCTGGGTGGGCCTGGAGTAGAGGAGCCCCTTGGTGAAGCTAAAGTCCGGCAGCGGCAGATAAGCGGAACCTGAGGGCTGCCCTCCGGCGCTGCTTGTCTCCCGCTGCTGAGCTTCAGTTTCACTGAGGGGCTCTTATATGGTCGCTGCATATGGCAGAGATGCAAATACAGCAGTTTTTGAGCTCCCACCACCATATGCAGTGACTGCAGATTCTCCAGTCTGGCTCGGAAGTTTCAGCACCTGTCCTGTAAGACGTTAACAGAATATGAGACAACACCTGACTTTTGAGAAGATTTTCCTGGGTTAAAAAAATAGTCTTATATGCCAGAAAATACTGTACTTTTTTAATGTATGCCCCCTCCCCCATTTTTTTCTTATTTCTAGACATTTTTTTCCTTCATGTTATCATGTACAACTTTATTCCAGGCAAATATCAATTCAATTACTCTCTTGTTATTTTAAGATTGTAATTCTTTATTTCTCTTGCCAGAGGATGTCTTACTGAACAACACCCTAAAATACTCTTTGACATGATGCCAATTATTTGGATAAAGCCGAGTAAGTATATTCTTGGCAAATTGTTTCCTGAAAAGGCTCTGGTCCTTCCCTTGTACAATATGTAGAATCCATTAATCTTAGATGACAAATTAGTTATCTCTGTCTCTGTGTCCAAATCTTATCCTTAAATCTTACCGTGCTCCCTGTTGTCCTTCCATGTTCCTTTACTATGTATAACCACAGTGGATAGATACTGTGTCTATCCGAACACATTTTCAGTGTTTTGCCATACTACAATATGTATTATCTATCCAGTTAATGCAAAGTTAGTAGCATACATTTTGGAGATTAGATCTACTTCCTCAGATGCATGGAATGAAGTGCCTAGAAACAGATCTTTATAGGCAGATTGTGTGTGCCATAAAAATGCAAAACCAATGGACATGGTGATCAGTTTTAAGGATGTATTGTCAAAGGCTTTCATGGCCAGAATCACTGGTTGCTGTAAGGTTTTCAGGTTGTATGGCCATGTTCCAGAAGCATTTTCTCCTGGCGTTTCACCTGCATCTATGGCAGGCATCCTCAGAGGTTGTGAGTATCTCATAGATAATGAATGATAACCATATGAAATGTAGAGGGAGATATTGGGGTGTGTTGCAATGCTGGCTGGGAACTGGCAAAGAGATGTGATAAACTGGCCAAGAGGGCCTTCATGAGACTGGGATGTTTCCTGGTATTATAATATGTGTTGTGTGCCATCAGATCATTGTCTTTGTTCAATATGTTGTTGATAAACTGGATGTTGTGAATGTATGCCAATTCCACTGTTTCTCTTTCCAATCTTCCATGTAGTTTGTTGTTGTTATTTAAAGGGACAATTATTCTAAGGTCAGATATAGCATGACCTATGTGAAAATCAGGAAGTCTGATTTTTTAAAAAAATGTTCAAATAATGGTTTTGACCTTGAAAGTCCTGCTTGGTTTGGTCCTGGTTATCTGAAAAAAATGTATCTTCATGTACAAGCCAACATGAGTTTTAAGATCAGCAGGAGAAATCTTTTGATCCCACCACCTTCACAGGTGCGTTTGGTGAGGAGAACTTTTTTGTCCAGGCAGGCTTTCGGGTTTTATATAGATGTAGTGTGTGAGGCTCCCCAAATAACCCTGAAACACCAGATTCTAGCTTACCTTGAAAGCTAAGCAGGGTCATACCCAGTTAGTACTGGGATGGGAGGCCATTAATGAGTACCTGGTGCTGAAGGCTATGTGTCAGAGAAAGGAACTGACAAAACCGTATCTGAGTATTCCTTGTCTTTAAAAACCGTATGAAATTCTTGAGTCACCATACATTGACAGGTGACCTGAAGTCACATACACACACCTAGTGTGTTTGAAGTGATGTGCTGTATTTTATTATTAAATCTGTTAATAGTAATTAAATGGGTTTTTAATTGTTTAAGAGCCAGGGTTTTAATACCGCATTTTCAGAATGTCTTTCATTGTATTGTCGAAGGCTTTCATGGCTGGAATCACTAGGTTCTTGTGGGTTTTTTCGGGCTATAGAGCCATGTTCTAGAGGCATTTCTCCTGATGTTTCGCCTGCATCTATGGCAAGCATCCTCAGAGGTAGTGAGTGAGTACTACCTCTGAGTGAGTACTACCTCACTACCTCTGAGGATGCTTGCCATAGATGCAGGCGAAACGTCAGGAGAAATGCCTCTAGAACATGGCTCTATAGCCCGAAAAAACCCACAAGAACCTTATGTCTTTCATTGTTTTACATATGCAATTATTTAAACTGATTTTATTGTAATCTGTCTTGAGATTTTGTGATATAGGGTGAGGAGGAGATATTAAAGCCTCAGGACTGTTGAGGTCCTGTAAAATAAAATACACACACAGGTGTGATTCCTATTCTTAAAACTGACTCCAATATGTTAGGCATGTAGTCTGCTAACAGTTCTTCAAATATCCTTGAACACTTAATTACATTTAAATCCCATTAATTTAGTTACATTTAATTTAGATTTAAATTAAACTAAATAAGATTAATTATTTAAGACTCTAGTTATTACAAAAAGCGTTTTATTTACCTTTCTAAACTACAGCATTTTGATGCTTTACTCTTACAGTATAATTCTTTTTTTCTTTTCCTTTCAAGCAAAAAAATCAGACATAAAGAAAACAAATGCCTACATGTGTCCACTCTACAAGACAAGTGAACGTAAAGGAACTCTTTCAACAACTGGGCATTCTACAAATTTTGTCATTGCCTTAATGCTTTTAACTGATAAACCAGTCCAGCACTGGATTAAGAGAGGAGTTGCTCTGCTTTGCCAACTGGATGACTAATTTTGTCAAGTTGGTAATCAAATAGTTTAAAAAACTGAATGTATAGATGTGTTCTGTTTCTCTCGTTTTTTTTTCTTAAGCAAACAGTTTTCTTGCAGATGTTTATAGAGATTTTGTTTTGCATTTAATAAATGTTATTTCTTTGTAAAAATACTGATGCATCTTTCTGTTCTTTGATAGTAAGATTCTAAAGTGTTATTATGCATATAGCTCATATGAAGAGGTATTGATTTTGTTGAACTATTATTGTGTCGTCTTTTGTTTCTTGCTTCTTAAAAGGCAGGAAAGAAAGAGGAGATTTTTTTAGCATCACCATAGAATCACAGAGTTAGAAAAGAACTCATGGGCCATCCAATCCTTTTTTCCACCAGACAAATTTTTCAAAATCCAATCATCACAAGAACAGAAAGTGAGGTGAAATCTTCTGAAAAAGGGGCACAGACAGCAAAATTACCACCACATAGATGTTAACCCTTCCCTATGCTATCCAAACCTTAGATAGATAGATAGATAGATAGATAGATAGATAGATAGATAGATAGATAGATAGATAGGAGTTACACTTAAAATGTACCTGTTCTGAATAAATTCAACTTAAGAACAAACCTATTTGCAAATTGGTGACTGCTTGAGTATTATAACTATGTTGTAACTATGAAGCTCAGCCAAAGCTAAGGAATGTGTGTTCACATTGAATAAGTGTGATGGTTATGAGGACACCCTATGCTGTTTCAATATCTTTGCAAGATGTATGTATAGCAGATATATGTATAGCAGGGTGGAAGGAACCAGCTACTTTAATTAAACATTGTAAATTGGATAGGTATAAATTGGCATAAGATGTATTTGTCAGAACAGTCCTTCAAACTGTGGTTTCATAGTTTAGAAGTTTAAAATGTATTGGCAGTCTAGAATCCCACTGTTAGAGAGTTTGGATAAATCTCAGTTATGGTGGATTGCGGCGCTGTGCCATCTTGAATACTTACTCTGAATAACCATTCTGGGTTGGCAGAAAGAACCATCCATACCTGTTCTCCAGGGAAAATTAGTAATAAGAACAATGAGAAAAAGTTTTCAGGAGTTAGGCGTAGGAATAGGTCAAGACTAGATAATCAAACCAATTGAGAAAAGAAGGAATATTAGCTGACCAAATGAGGGGAAAACATTGTGTCCTGTCTAGGTGGCTTGGCGCACAGGAACTTAGAGTACACCTCTTGTCATCCCAGAATGAATATTCATGGTGGATTGCTCCTCCTGTCATCGCAGATTGAATATTCACAGTAAGTATAGCTTCTCATTTTCTACACACACAAACACACACTTTTGTGTCATTCAACTAAAGGTAAGCAGGAGGTCACATATTTTTGATTTCAATGGTAGATTTAAGGGCAGTTTTAAGTGGTAGATTTAAAGGCGTAATCCACTGCCGTGTAGATTATGGGAACTGTCTTCACTGTTTCTTAGGTTTACAAAATATATAGATACAATCTGAAAATTGTAGACATAATCTGTTGGATCCTAGCAAAAAGAAATACATCTACTAACCACTGAAAACTATTTCAACCATTGGAAATTATTTTCAGTTTAATTTATTCAGCTTTGAAAACAGCTTTAATAAAAACTTCAGAATGGAACAAATCAATGTTCTTTGCAGTTCTTGAAATGTGCATGCTCACCTAATTGCATCTGATATATTTTGGTGAAAAATGTTGGGGTGTTTGATCTTTTTTTATTCACACACCAAGCTCAGGTCTTTACTGCTAACTCTCATGTAATCTCTTGTAGAAACTTGTGGGTAAAGCAGAGTATCTTATGTATGCACTGGTATTTATAGTAAGTTATTCATGGATCTGGACTATGCAAGAGGCAAGGATCACTTTTCAATACATCACCCATAGCCTTAACACAGGCTGCAAGAACGTTTCTGATTCGAACATGGAAGAAAGGTGAGAAGAATATGTGGCGTCATGTTTTAAAATCATTTCCATGTAATTTTATCTTTAAAGCAACAACAAATATTGTAGTCTGAATTTAGCAATGAAATGTTTAAAATTATTCTTGCAATTCTGGTACAAAAAAGGCAGCTCGTTTGATGCATTTCATGTTTTATGTTTACCAGTATTCCCTACAAGCAATAAATTTTATAAAGGATTTAATAGTTATTATTTCAAATTGTCTGTAATCTACTTAGTATGAAAATATGGAAAACACATTTTCACATATTCATGTAATATATAACCGTGAATCTTTTCAGTGTATGATAAAGGAATATAACCTCATTAGAAATGACAGTAGAAATGTTTACACTATTTGAAGTATGTAGAGCAAATGCTGCTTCCTTCTGGAAGGATCAGTCTGTATTGCACACTTCAGTGCTTGTCTGTTCACAATGTTTGCAGTTGTTTGCAGTCATTATCTTTTATTTGTGGAATTAAATTCTGAGCATTTTACACTGAGATCCTATGGGTGATATTGTTTAATGGGCCTGACCCAACCTGTGTGCCTCATGCTCAACAGGAATGAGGTCAAGATTGTGAAAGGAAGGAGGTGGCTGGATGGGGTGAATCATTGGGAAGAAATTGCACACACTGGTGCATGAAAGGAAAATGAAATGATTTAATTTGTTTAATTACTCTGACCATTGCTTAGTCATATGCTGATCCCCCCTTTTCAAACTGTTAAACTAGTTTTAATCCAAATACATAACAATTGGAATTTTGCTATTTTGCTGAATAAACATTTTACTTGATGTAATATTGCTTGTTTCCTTCCATTTTTGTTCATATTGTTTAATTAACTAGTGTAAAATACTTTTTGAAAAATACCACTACAAAATTCTTTAGCAAGGATATCAAATAGTTCTCAATGCCACCTATTTTTGGGTTTTTGTAAGTTTTCCGGGCTATATGGCATGTTCCAGAAGCATTCTCTCCTGACGTTTTGCCTGCATCTATGGCAAGCATCCTCAGAGGTTGTAAGGTCTGTGGAAACTAGGAAAATTGGGTTTATATATCTGTGGAATGTCCAGGGTGGGAGAAAGAACTCTTTTCTGTTGGAGCTAGGTGTGAATGTTTTTGTTTTTGTTTTTATTTCAAAAAGTAACAAATAAGTACTGTTCAAAAAGGTAATGAATCTTTGTGTTTTGTTTTTATCTAATTTTCTCATTTAATCAATCCTGCCTAATTAAATGTGTTTAGCATGATTTAAATTTTATATTTAAGGTTTGATTTCAAGGTACTCATAAATTTTGTCTTCATTATCCGCTAAATTAAGTAACTTTCACCCCAAATAGTAAGATGATGTGGGAATCCAAAGTTGCTGGGGTTTTTTCTCTCATTAATTTCATAATGCCTGTACAAATCATTTCTGATTGATCCGCAGCAATATATACAATTTGCATCAGGTATGTTTGCGCTTGATTTTTTAGATCTAAAGTAAAGGTAAAGGTTTCCCCTTGACATTAAGTCTAGTCATGTCCAACTCTAGGGGGTGGTGCTCATCTCCATTTCTAAGCCAAAGAGCCAGCATTGTCCATAGACGCCTCAAAGGTCATGTGGCCGGCATGACTGCATGGAGTGCCGTTACCTTCCCGCCAGAGCAGTACCTATTGATTTACTCAAATTTTAATGTTTTTGAACTGCTAGGTTAGCAGAAGCTGGGGCTAGCAATGGGAGCTCACCCCATCCCACGGATTTGTACCACCAACCTTCTGGTTAGCAAGTTCAGCAGCTTAGTGGTTTAACCTGCTGTGCCAGATCTTTGCACTGTAATAATCCACTATGGTATTAGCTTCATGCATTTCCTGGATTGTGAAAAACCAAATAAAAAATGCAGGAAAAAATGTAGACGCAGAGCGAAACAATGTGACACTATTCCGGATATGTTACCTTTTCTGGTTTGGTCTCTCCAGCACTTGTAATTTTTTCTTAACATTTTAACCAATATCTTAGTACTCTTTTAACAAACTGGCATCTTAAGGGGAATTGATTACAGTTCCTTAACATAAGCAAATTATATTTTAATTTGTTTAATGATAGCTAAATTTTAACATTCTGAAAAAAATCACATCATGATTTAACAGTTCCTGTGAAAGCAACAAAAGTCCAAATATAATTGCATGTTAGAACAGTGGAAAATGAGTATTCACTCAGATGTAACAATTATGTGTGCTTTATCTTTTTGTATGAAGTTTGGTTTACTCAGCAAACATCTACCATGAAATTATGATTATGACCAGCTGTTTTGAGATGTTTTGGTCTACAGCTTCATCTTCCAGTCTTTGCTCCTTCACAGGGTGACAGGACTGCATAGAAACTGTACACAATCGTAACTGTATCCTAGAGAGGAATATCAGGCTGAAGATGTATTGGCATTTCTGAAGCACTTGGCATCCCCAACCATGTGTATGGACAAATAGGATCAATAGTGGACATCACATCCACCCACCAGATTATCCCAGAAGGAGTATCAACTTTTCTCCGAAGCACTGTGCTAATCACACATTGAAAACAAAGAGATAAATGTGACTTTATATAGTTCATACCTTACTTTTTAACTGGCTGCGTGTGAAAATTAGAAGTAACATGTTAATTAATATTATCTCCTGATATATTTACAAAATTAAAACAATGTGTCACCCTACCAATGTTCAGTTATGGATGGCTTCAACTTGTCATTAGATTAATTCTACTTCTCTCTTCATCTGGTTTGACACTAATCCAGATTTACCTTCCTTTTTCCTACCAGTGGTCAGAAAATCAAATTGATGCAAAAAGAGCTATTTAAATTATGTTTTCTTTTGTTGTTATTTAGTGAAAGAAAGAAAAATACTATGTTGTTCTATTTGTCATTTTGTATTTTTCCTCATACTTATAGCACCTGATGTCTCTGGCAAACAGAAGAATCTACGAATTTAAAAGTCTGGCATAGAACTGCCATTTAGTCCCATCTGGTTTTGTGATCTAAAACATGTGGTTTTAACATGTATGATATTACAAATACAAATGATGATGCTGATGATGACATACCTACTCAGTATGTCATTCAACAAAGCTTGCAGGACATTCACAAGAGCAAGACAGTGAATACAGAAAATTGTGATAGGTATGTATATTTTTCTGGATGTTTCTTTGAGTAGTAACTATGACATTATTGGTGAAAAAGTCAGTGAGACTTTCAAAACATTAAGCATTGTTTGCAGAATAATATGCACATGGGATATTCCTCCAATGTGTGTGTTTGACTTCATTTTGAGCCCATTCTTCCCTCCTGACATTTAGAAAGCTGGTAAAAACATGGCTTTGGGATAATGCATTTGCAGAATGATGACTGAGTCAATTACTACTGAAATTTCTAGCGGATGGCGATGAATTTGTGATTTACTCTAATGAACTGACTTTTTTGTAACTTGTATGAATTGTATGAATTGTATTTTAATGTATTTTATATTGATGACGTATACTGTTTTTTTCTTATTGTATTGAATCTTATGTTGTTAGCCGGCCTGAGTCCCTCCTCGGAGGTCGAGAAGACCGGGTTATAAAAACTCTAAATAAAATAATAAAATAATAATTCTTCATCCCAAAAGCTTGACATATTGTCAAGCTTTTACACATTGTCACAATTAAGCAATTCTTGCTGTAAGCTTGCAGCCTCAAAAGACCTGATACAAAACGGAGAGAAAGAGTGGAGAAGCAAATCCAGGCACTAGTTTACTGATTGTAAAGATAAAGAGATTGAAGTCCAAAATCTGAAACGTCCAATGTTTGTGTTTAGACGTGGGTTCCATCTCAAAGATTTCTCATTATGTAAATGCAAACATTGCAAAAGTTTTTTTAAAAAAAGCATTATTCTAAAATTCAAACACTCCAGATCCTAAATTGCTGTGCAACATAACTGGTCCCATTGCTAATGTTCCAAATTACACAACCAACTCCATTTCAGAACACTTCAAGGCCTTCGTTTTTAAAAAATATACATTTATCCTTTCATATTTCCTAAATTGCACTTCTCCCTTTTGTTGTTACAACAAAGCCCCTCATCAGTGAAATTCATTCAGTTGCCATAAGTTGAACAGTAACTTGAAGGCACTTACACACATTCTCCAAGGCTCTGGAGGGAAATGATCAGTCACAGCTATCAGCATGTAGCTTTGTAATGCAGATACTTTCAATTAGTCCAAGAACTGAATCCATGGAAGAATGCTTAATTTCCCATAGCATACAGAATGGTAATCTCCTTTTGCAATAGGCTTTCTTGATTTCCTGTTCACAACTTCTGGTTCTAACTTGCAAGATATGGGTTGATCTACCTTATTATAGACAAATCCTTTATCTACTTCTAAATTACAGTCCTGTATTTAGTGAATCCACAAACATGAATACTCAAATGACTTTTCAGGAGAGCCTCTGCTAGATTGTTTGACTTTTCAGAAGGGTCTCTGCTAAAGGCCTATGATCCCTTATCAATAAGCATATTTTGTGAGAGTGGAGGCTGAATGTGGAATTTGTGGTTTAACACTTTTGTTTTGGCTTTGGAATCAGGGATAGGAAAGTGGTAATTTTGTATCCTGTCCTTCAAACCAACAATTAATAAGCTCTTAAAGTCAGATTTAGAAACATAGGTGGAATCCTGTTGGAGCATAGCATGCTTGAAAGTAGACTTACATGTTCAGGATATAGAATTGTGAATTCTACAACATCTATTTTCCCAAAGAGAAAGTGTCTGAAATCAACAGGTCAGTCATTTTAGGGTTGCCATAAATCGAAAATGAGGGCGCAGTAACAAGACAAAACCCATGGTGTCGTAACACTTTACAGGGTTCTTAAAGACAAATGTGAGTACGACTGGTGTCTTATTACTCACCACAGCTGTATAGTAAATCTGTCAACTTAAGAAAAGTTCTTTTTCTCCATTTTAATTTAATTTTTATGCTGACAAAGGGAAAGCATTTTTTAAATTGTGTTATTATTATTTTGTTCTTTGTAGCTTTGGTTTTGCTACAAGTGAAAATCACAAGGCAATAATTGCTGCCGTTCGGACAGTTAAGTATCTTTGTTAGTTAACAAAGCACGCTTTGCCCATTCTTGGGGATTTCAGCTATAAAATGAAGCATTTGTTTTGCTTTATGTCACAAAGGCTTATATTACCAGATTAGCCAACCATATAATGAACTACTGAATGCTGAGACATCCAGTGACGCGCATACATATATTCAAGAAGCAGCTCAGACTTTATTGTAATTGAGAATTTCCCCACAGATTCCACTGTGAACAAGAATACCTTTATTTCTGTTAATGCCACTGAGCATTCTCTGAGCTAGTATGAGAAAATAAAAATGATGTGCATATGCACCCAGTACTTCATTTTGAATATATCTGACTACTTCAGAAAAAAGTTGAGAATTTGGATTGATGATACATGACATCCTCCAGAGCTACAGGGAGATGGGGTTGGGAAGCTGTTGTGTCAACAATTGTTTTGGTGTGGCATGGCATGTGTGTTTGTTGTTCATGGATGCCTGAACCTTGAGGATTTGTGCGTGTTTTGCTTGGGTTTTGTGGATGAGTGTGTTTTGATGGATGTTTCATTTAGGTATAAATGTTTTAATTTGTACGTTCGTGTACGTTCATGTTTTGTACATTCATGTTAATGGAAGGCATCTCCAATTTGCCTTCCACAAAATGAGTGCTTCATACAGACGAATATGTAGTTTGTAATTGTGTAAGGGTTAGTTCTGCCTCTGTTTTGCACTCACATTGCCCTCTTTAACTGCCATGGTTGCATCTTGTGCCATTCCATGGCTTGTAGTTTGAAGGGTCTCTGAAGCACGTTACAAATCCCATGATTCTAAAAGATGCAGAGACCTCAGTTTTGTAGGAAGTTATGATCTCCGAGCTTCACCAGTTTGCCTGTTATGAATGTCTGTGAACGCATAAAAGCACAGACCGAAAATGATAGTTTGATATTTACAACTCATGCCCCACGTCTCTGTTGTAGTTAGGTTCTAGAGGAAATTATTTTTCTTTTACTGTCACCAGTTTGTCTTCTGGTGGACAATGGAGTTTTGTGACTGGTCATATCTATCACACTATACACAGTTTATATATGAGCAGGGCAGACATTTTGGGAAAGTACCAATCACAGTATTTAAATGCTTGCTGGTCCAAAAAAAAAAAAGCTTAATTTTTATATAGAGTTCATTAAAGTTAACAATATTTTAAATTATCTTTGACTTTTCGGGACATAGATGTGCATTATTCAAACCATTTGTTTACTCAACAGGTCAAGAAGAGACTCTGCTCAGCCTGATAAGGAATGCCTCTGCTTTTCGGGAAGTAGACGGAGAAGGCTGCCTTCCTTTGCATGAAGCCGCAGCACAACCAAATAGGCATATTCTAGAAATAACTCTTAAAGGTGAACCCTCTGTGGGTGTTTTTCTCAAGTCTCATTTCTGTGTTAATTTGTTATGTAAATACTTATCTGTTTGTTGTGATTTTCTTTCAGCTTCTCACCCCGTTGTGTGGCAGCAAAGAAATCTGAAGGGAGAAACTCCTCTGTTTTTAGCAGTAGAGAAATGCCTTGTAAAAAATGTACATTTTCTACTTCTCAATGATTTTAATCCTGATGTTAAAAATGAAGAAGGAGATTCTGCCTTAATCACTGGTAAAAAAATACATTTTCTCTAATCTAATACTGTTGTTATATATAATTTAGAATGGTTTGAGCATATTAAAGATGTCCTTTTCATATTGTGCAAAACTCTGAGATACAATTATTGATTTTTTATTCAGTGACCTGTAGACTTGTTTCTGCTTAGTTTCTGCTTAGTTATTCCTACTGTAATAGTGCCTGACAGTTTCCTCCCACTTTCCCTATTACCACAAATGCCCCTTTCTGCATTGTTCCCCACCCCCACTTCAGGAGCAGATTGAAACATGTAGTCAGTGGTTCTCAGCCTGTGGGTCCCCAGATGTTTTGGCCTTCAACTCCCAGAAATCCTAATAGCTGGTAACCTGGCTGGGATTTCTGGGAGTTGTAAGCCAAAACACCTGGGGACTCACAGGTTGAGAACTATTGGCGTAGATTCTTCTAAGAATTTCCTTTAGTTGTCTCAGCCAGCTGGTGAATGGGCTATCTCTGAAACAGACAACTTGGGAAAATCTTGGAAGAACATATTCATCTTATTCTGATCCTGAAAATATTATAAACATATTAGGATTCTGCTTGGCTGTGGAATTATAATTCTGAACATATATTATAGAAATGTGTTATGTGAAAAATCAGTGGGATTTTCTTTTGGGTCTTTTTTCATAGAATGAAACCCTAAAACTGCATCAGCATGCATCTGTTCACTAAGGACATTTTAGCCTTTTGCCTTCTTTAGTCCCAATGAGTTGGAATAGTTTTGTTGGTGTTGTTTATTCGTTGAGAGTATAGTTATGCCAGGAGGTCTCACTGAGCCCCACTGTTTCTGAGGAACCCCTTTTCCTGTTGTGATTGTGCCCTGTGGAGTTAGGTTACTTGGGGAAGGTCCATTACTTGCTTCCGCAATAGTTTATGAAGAGCTCCACAGTTCTCTTGGGTCCTGGTACTATACCCAGATCTGACTTCTTTGGCAACTGAGGGCTCAGAGTTTTTCCTCCAGAGGCAGAGCCAGTTCATTTGCTGATTGCTGGACTCGGGGTCTGGCTATGATCAAGCATCACATGCTGCACACTGCAATTATTTTCCCCTGAGTCATGCCAGGTCCCAAAAGGACAACAAACTCTCTTATTCTGAATGGAAGTGAGACTAAGGGAGCTGTTTCAGCCCCTGAGAGCCATGCACAAAAATAGACTCATATCTGCACTCTCTTTTTCAAGCTCTAGGATGAATCTAACTTTAGTCTCTCGTATTGCTATGTGACCTTTATTGCTGCATAAAAATAGCATAGGGCAGCTATGTAAAAGCTCATCCTAAGATAGTTTCACAGGAAAGCGAAGTGTTTGGTGCAATGTTTTTAAAATTAATCCTTTAAGTGTGGCTCTTCCCAATTTTACTGTCTTTTACAGCTGTTAAACATAAATCTTACGAAATTGCTTCGTTACTGATACAATTTGGTGCTGATGTCAACTTACAGTGTATCAATAAGAGAACAGCTTTACACGAGGCAGCAAGGCTCGGCTTAAAAGACATGGTGGAGCTTCTGCTCTGTTCAAAGGCAGATCCAGACCCACGGAGTTCCTATGGGCTCACACCTTTAGCCCTGGCAGCACAGAATGGGCATACTGACATTCTGAAAATATTACTGCGTAAAGGTGAGAATTAGACGTGCCATTTAATCCCAATCGGGGTTTCTGGTGGTTGCCAGAACATTCATATGACATATTGTTGTTAAGCGTAGAAATCACTTTCTAATGTTTAATTCAGGATTTTAGAAGCCTGGTCTGCCTTCTGTGAGAAGGAGAGGCAGTTATGGTGAAACAGTCTGCACCATGCAGAAGGGGGTCGTGTGGGAAAACCCTAGACATATCTGGACATACTTCCTTTCCAAGTCCTCAGTAGATTCAAAGCAGTGAGTCTCTGCAAGTCAATCATCAGACACGACAAAAAAAAAAATCAGGCATGATGGTGCAGATCTGTTGATGGTCCACACAATAACTCAGAATTGCCCTTGATAATCATAAGGTGTATATGTTGGCTGAGTATATTATGGCCTTTGGTTAAGCATGTTTATTCAGTATTTTTTATTAACATGTCTTGTGTACTTATATATTACACAATTTTTGTTATGTGTTCACAAATGCTGTAAGCCCTTTTCTCACTCAAATTGTTACAAAGGAGGAGCTTGGTACCCGTTCAACAGGAAACCTTGTTTTCTTAAAAGACTTTAAAATGTAACCCTGGTGGTGAATAGTATTGTACCAGTTTAGTAAATAATGGGTTTGCTGAGATATAGCAGCAAAAAGGTATGTGATCTTCCAATTCCATTTTGACTTTGACAGCCCTTTCTTCAGATTTATCCCTTTTGCAGTATTTTTCAGCCCTAAAAATGTCCTGCAGTAGATCAATAAAGCAGACTAACATTGATCCTATTTTCCCACATTCTTGCAGAAATCCATTTATTCCAACATATTTCCTTCTGAAAGAGTTATTACAGGGGGAGAGAGGCCCCGCGGGTCTTCAATTCCTGGTTTGTACTAACTAAACCTCTACTGCTCTTTTCCATGCAGGTGCGAATGTTCTTTCCCAGGCATCGGATTGTGCATCCGTATTATTTGAGGCTGCTGGAGGAGGAAATCCAGACTGTGTCAATCTCCTTCTGGAGTATGGAGCTGATGCCAATGTACCAAAGCATTCGGGTCATTTGCCTATCCACAGAGCTGCTTATAGGGGACACTTCTTGTGAGTTTCACTATTCTGACTCATTGAGTGCAGTTGGGGAGTTGGGAGATTTCAGTAGTCATATAGCCATCCCTTTGTTACATCTCTGGGCAGATTAACTATGCCTTTGATTAGTTTCTCAGATCTAGCATCACCAAAAGCAAAAAGAACTTTTCCACATTTAACACCTGCAAAAAGAGCAGGTATTGAAGCAGTCAATGCAGCAGCCCGATCTCTTTTGCATCTGGGAGAGGTCACTCAGAGTTTTGGAATATAGTCTAACTACACAGATATCTATAAATACAATGTTAATACACAAATGTCCTAGTGCTATAAGCTTCAGCACAAATACCAATTGGAGTAATGAGAAAAGTATCAAACTAACTCATATAATACATAAGCATGGGAAACAAACCCATAGGAACAATTTACAACAGTGTAACAAACATAATATTCATGTTTTTCAAAATAATTTGTAAAATCTTCCAAAGGTCATGTAGACAGACTTCAACATATCCAATATTGTCCCATGTAAATTCAAGATGTGATAGACAGTATTGGGAATACAAGGTTTTTATGTCCTTGTTTCAAGAGGAGTATCTCTTCTTCAAGTTTCTTTAAATGAAGGAATGAACCTTGAAAGAAACCTGAGGAAGAGATACTCCTCTACATGCAGATGACACCAATCTTTACTACTCCTTTCCACCCAAAGCCAAGGAAGCTGTCCTCACCCTAAACCAGTGTCTGTCATCAGTAATGAACTGGGTGAAAGCAAGCAAATTGAGACTTAATCCAGACAAGCCAGAAGTGCTCTTAATCAGTTGGAGGGCAGATCAAGGAAGAGGATAGGATTGCATTCTCCCTGAAGGCACAAGTCCATCATTTGTGGGTCCTCCTAGATTCAGCATTGAACGTGGAGGCCCAGCTTTCTGTGGTGTCCAAGAGTACCTTTGTACATTTAAGACTCGTGCAACAACTATGCCTATTCTTTGGAACACTGGATCTGGCCATAGTAGCACATGCCTTAGTTTCCTCCCATTGCTGTACATGGGACTACCTTTGAGGTGTGCTCAGAAACATCAGTTGGTCCAAAAAGCTACAGCCAGACTGTTAATGGTGGCTGGCTACAGAGAGCACCCAACCCCCTTGTTGCAGCAGCTTCACCGGCTGCTACTTTGTTTCAGGGCACAATTCAAAGTAATGGTTGCAGTTCAGGTCCAAGCTATTGGGCAGACTACATCTCCTGGTATGAACTTGCCTGGGCCCTGAAATCCTTCTTTCATTTCCACCTCCATCTCAAGCATGGTTGTGGGAGGCACAATAGAGTGCTTTCTCAGTGGCTACACCTCGTATTTGGAACTGCCTGTCCAAAATAGACAGGCTTTTAAAGAACATTTTTAAGACTGTGACCAAGAGTGCAGATTTGTATTTGCGTATTTAATATATTTTAATTTTTAAATTGTTTTAACTATATATTTTTAATGCTCCTATGTTTAATTTTATTTTAATGTTTATAAGTTTTTGGTTTTAAATTGTTCATTTGCTAAAACATGGTTACTCACTTTGAGTCTCTTTTAAGAGAGAAAAAGAGGGATATAATAAATAAGACAGACAGATTTATAGATAAGTAGATAGTCAAATCCTCCTCAGTATGTACAGAAGGTAGACTGGCTGATAAAAGTCTCAATTCAATATCTTCTCAGCATAATACAAATATTCGCATGCAAAGCTACCCTACACTGAATCACGAACCACCATCATCCTGATTTACTGTAAAGTCCTCCAGTTATTGATGAACATGTTTGCAATCTGTGTGATGGGTAGATTGATGGCTGTATGCCATCTTCTTGCTGCACACCATTTTATCTTTGTGCCCACAGAGGTTTGTGAGGTTTCTTGTGATTTGGGAAAGAGGTGGAAAGTCCAAGCAAACCAAACCCAACTCCATTTTTGTGGGCAGTTTTCATGCTGTGTGAAATGAAGTCATCCCAACTTTGGCAGTTTTGGCAATGGGTTACAAACTTGTTTTACAATCATACTCTTTGGTAATTCTTGCACATTTTGCTCTCGAGTTCCTTCTTTACTCATACACTAATTAGGACAGAATGGCTCTCATTTGGTAGTGCTGAATGGGAAAGGGAGTGGAAACTTCTCACAACAATGAGCCACCCTTCATGCCGGTTTTCCCCCAGTGCCTTGTCATCATAACAATATTATTGAATAGTTGGATTTTGTTTTCTTTATCTCTCAGAGCTCTGCAGATCTTGGTTCCAGTAACAGATCTTTCTGACATAAAGGAAAGTGGGATCAGTCCACTTCACTCTGCAGCAGCAGGAGGGCATCCTCAGTGCCTTGAATTCCTTCTAAAATCTGGTTTTGATGTCAATTTTATGTTGCATCAGAGAATTCGCAAAGGCTATGATGATGAGAGGAAGTCAGCCTTGTATTTTGCTGTCTCTAATGGCGATATTACTTCAGTTCAGCTGCTCCTGAAAGCTGGAGCCCTACCAAACCAAGACCCAGTGAACTGTCTCCAGTTGGCCTTGCGGATGGCCAACTATGAGCTCATTAGCCTCCTCCTTCGTCACGGAGCAAATGTGAACTACTTCTGCAGGGTTAACACAACCCATTTCCCATCAGCTCTGCAGTATACACTGAAAGATGAAGTCATGCTAAGGATGTTGCTGAATTATGGGTACGATGTTCACCGCTGCTTTGACTGTCTTCATGGAGACAATGTACATTCCCAGTACATGTTTGAGGGGTGGACCTCAACTGTTATCAAAGACACAATGGTAAGCTGTGGAAGGGAAATTTATATCCCTGCCAATTCCCTAAAGCTTTGTCACCCATACCAAATTGCAAATCTGGAAGTGAAACTTAATAGGGGGGGGGGGTCGTACCTTTAAAAACAAATGAAGAGATATACAACATTTATCTACCCTACACATTACTGTTTCGGACCTGTGGGATTACAGAATCTACTGCCATTTTAACAAGTACTCTGTAGAACAATTGGCAAGTTCTTGGTTATCCTAATTGCAATAGTGCTGTTTTTACCCAATAGCGGTATGGTATAGAAGCAATTGAATTATATGGGAGGTACGGGCTAAAGATTTATTAAATTTGTTCTTCCAGAGCACTTCAACAATACAAAAATAGAGTTTTGAGGTCTTATACTGTCCTGTTCTTCTCTCTTCAGTTCTGTGAAGTTATAACTGTAACATGGCTAAGACACCTCTCTGGGACAGTAGTGCGCGTGATGCTAGATTATGTTGATCATATCCGAATCTGCTGTAAGCTTCAAGATGTCCTTCAAGAACAAACACTGTGGCCAGAAATTCATGCAATTTTGAGTAAGTACAACTAGTAGCTGTAGAAAGCTGAATTTTGGAGATGAAAATTGGTGTAGTACAGCCCTCAAATTGGTAAGAATTTCACAATTAAACCAGTTGCTGGATGTTGCTAAAAAGCACAATTATCACTATAATTTATTTTAGATCACATATGAACCTGTGATCTAAAATAAGCTGTTGTAAGCCACCTTGAGTCCCCCTTCAGAGGTGAGAAAGGAGAAATATAAATGAAGCAAATAAACTTCTGCATGAAGTAACTTGCTAATCTATAATAGTATTGTTACAAGCAATAAATACTGTGATAAGAATTGCCCTAGAATCACTGTAACTTTTTCTGATAGATAATAATGTACTTAATGCTTTAATGTAGCACTGTATAAGGTAAGTGCATTATTTTGAAAATAATCTCAATTGCTTTTATGCATGTTTCTGACAGGTGGCATTTATCTCATCTGCCTTTGTAACAGGAAAATAATTATTCCCATTTTACAGATGGGAAGCTGAAATGTCTAATATTAATACAATGACCCAAGAGGCCACTATGGCCGCTTAGTGACCTGACACCAGCTATGTCCCACCCAGAGGCACAAGGATGGATAAATTACATAATAATATAATAATATTTATTTATTTATTTACAGCAAACACCCGCTCTTTAAAACATCTTTGCCGCCTGAGAATCAGAAAATGTTTAGGCCGCTTACGTCTACGTTGTCCCGTCTTCTTTACCTTTCTACCACTTCCAAACCGTTTGAAAGACTATATACTCTATAAGGAGTATGATCTCTATGGACAAGGAATTCTGGAAGGGATCTACTAATTCAGATGTACAACACTGTGTCTTATGCAAATACACGTTTCAGCTTATGCAAGTTTTAGAAAAAAAGGTATGTAGAATAAAACAAGCAAAATGAATCATGGGTACTAAAATCTGTGGATAAATCACAACATCATCTGCAGTCAAACTACATATTCTTCTTGAGAAACGAGCAATAGAGGGCACATTCAGAAGGCAACTTTCAAAAATAGTAACTAGTATACTGCTGCTTTCCCATGAACAGAGAAACACAAATCAAATTACACGACTTAATAATGTTCAATTTATTCTCTTTGGGGCAGTAGGCAAATTCAAGTATTTCAATATATGTAAAGATGCATTTATTTTTTAACAAATTATAAACCAAAATGTTTATAGTGGATGGCCTGCTTTTTGACCCCTGTGACACACAAAAAATGGACCCAATAGTATACCAGCCAAAATTCTTCATACCAAGATGGGCAATGCTCCAGCATCTCCAAGCAACTGTGGCCATCCTTTAACAATTCAAGATGGGTATTAACCACTGCATAACAAGTTATTCTCCTATATTTCAAGGCAAATTAAAAGTATTTTTCCAGCTGTTATTTTTTTTTATTAAGCACAATAAATGATTCTCCAACTATGGATAAATTCCTGCATGACTGGCAGGCTGAAAATACATTTGACAAAAGTTTCAGGTAATTCTGAATTTTTGGATACATCATGAACTTTTGGGGATCAATGGCAAGCAAGCAAAATATTTACAAAACCATTACAGAAATCCATCTTTAAAATTAACTGGACTTTGATGAAGTCCTTCATACACATAATTTAATTAGTAGCAAAATTTCAATCTGCAATTGACAACATCAAGTTGAAAATCGTGAGTTATTTATTAACACATGTATTAAGGGCAGTTGTGTTACAAATCTTTAAAACAATGCAAAAATCACAACCACTGGAACAGGACCAAACCATTACTTTACCAGTAAGAATTTGACCAATCCACTATATTGCAAAAATCACAGATTGGTTATTTTTACAGTCTTTGTGGCTTGCTTATTAATCTTATCATGACAGAATACTGTTCCTTCTACGCTACATGCTGGATCATTCTTCCTACCAAACTAGATCATTTTTTTCTTTGGTAACAGGTATAGAACCATTTGGGAAAGGAGGAGAGTGTGGTTCTCCCCAAACTTCTGCAGGCCAGAGGATGACCCACGGGGAGGGCCTCTCCGCTTTCTCCCCTTCTGCCTGCCCTGCCTGATGTTGAGATGGAGAAGGGAAATCAAATGAGTAGTGGGCAAGGGAATTCCCCCTTGGAGGTCTCGCCTGCCACTCACCCCTAGCTGCCTGGGACTGGGACACTCTCCCAGGAGTGGCATCCCAGTGGGGAACCCAGATTCCCCATCCCTCTCTTTCGTTGATATGGATTTGCAGTGTTCATAAAATGGGCTCTGAAGAAAACATGGGAGTTATTCTCCTCAAACAGAGGGAGGAAAGGGTAGAGTTTTTAAAACACCACCACCAGCTTCATTTGCAAACGAACCATTTTTTTCCGACTACAATTCATGATGGAAGAGAGGAACATGAACAGATATTTCTCATTGCTACACGTCTCAAGAAAATAAATCGCATGCAGCAATCATATTCTCTTTCTTAAACTTTGTTGTTAAAGTATGATCTAGTTTATAAAACTGGAATTTGAAAGAAGGAAAGTCCCAGCACCCAGAATGTGGAATTCAGCTCTTGCACCCTTACAGCACAATCCCAAACATAGTTTACTCAGAAGTATGCCCTATTAGATTCATGGGTCTTACTTCTTGATAAAGCTGGCACAGAACTGCAGCCATGTAAAACAGGAGGGAAATAACATTTGATTGTTCAATATAGAAAGAAAAGTTTATTTCATGATTATGAAGCACTGTTTTGTACACCACAGTATCCCTAAATCAAAATAATCTCTCTATAGGAAAATACATGCTTACCACGTGGTGAGAAGTGGGGCACGAGCTATTTTTGCACCATGAACATACCAACCAAGCAGCCAAATTAATGATTTTCTCTACAGACTGTACATTTAACAGAAAAAATAATGTGGGAATTATGGAATATTTGTATAGTCAGGAAAATCTATGCCATCAAACTAGGTATGGCATTCTGTTTTGGGGCAAATGCATGCATACATTTCCCTGACGTGTATTTTGGGGACACGGGCAATGCTACTCCTTTAATCCCTTGCCCAAAGCACCTAGCCCTTCCCCTCAAATAACTAAAGAGTGTCACAAACCCCCTTGTGGCCACCCCATTCCTGGGAAGCAGGCAGAATCACTAGAACATCTAACTCAGGCATGAGCAAACTTCATCCCTCCGAAAGATCGACAGTTCAAATCCGGGGAGCGGGGTGAGCTCCCATCCTTGCAAGGACATGGGAGAAGCCTCCCACAGGATGATAAAACATCCAGGCGTCCCCTAGGCAACGTCCTTGCAGAATGCCAATTCTCTCACACCAGAAGCGACTTGCAGTTTCTCAAGTCGCTCCTGACACACACACTAAAAATAATCCCTCCAGGAGTTTTGGGCTTACCTACCAGCTGTTAGGAATTGTGGGAGTTAAAGTTAAAAACACCTGGAGGGCTAAAGTTTGCCCCTGCCTGTTCTAGCTACATCCCATTTGTATGTTGCAAGGCATGAAATGATGACATTGGCACAGAAGCAGGGACTTCTAAAACAAGGCTTCAATTTTTTTCCACTCCTGACCCCTTTTAACCCAAGAATTTTTTTATGTGACCCTGGGCATATAGTTATATAAATTAAGTGTAAAAATCAAACACTTACTAATAACAAACCAGCATTTGCAAGGCCTGCAAAACAGGTTGATTTTTCCTTTTTATGAAGTATACTTGAAGCATCTTCAGAGTCTACTGTAAACACTGCACAACAGATTTGTGCAAATGTCTAAAACAGCCACTGTTGTCAAAATTTTGGAGACACCAATGTTGCGTTACTCTTGTAACTATTTCATACCTGGCTATACAGAAAACCAGACACTTCTGAGATTCTGCCTGTTCCTCACAAAGCACAGAACAGCCATGGTTTTTGGAGGCAATGGTGTTTCAGAGATTGTTTAGTAAAAAGTACATGGCTCACATTACCATGGCTCCACATATGGACCCACTGCATTATGCAGAGCCATATATATATATATGCAGTATATGTACCAATTGCAGAGTATGGTTGAACATATCTGTCAGCTCTATTTCCATAGCTGTACTCCACAAGTTATTTCCACGTAATTTAAAAATCTGTACATATTTGTTGTGCATGAAGGCATGCCTCAAATAAGACAAATGTCCCATTTGCTAAGATATGTTTATGCATGTGTGTACAGCAACTACACAGAGTAGTTGCTGTACACTTCAAAAATATGCTTCTGGCATGAACTTCTGCTTTCTTTCACAGAACACTTTGCCAGCCCAGTAATGTATACGGTACATTTCCAATCACAAGCTAACTTTCTGTATTCAGCTCAGGACGTGTAAATTAGGTAAACCCATCTTTTAAAAACTGCAAATTTGGGACACATCTGTGTTCTAGGGTTAATACAGTATATATAAAATCATGGTTTACCATGGTTCACCAAATTTAAATCATCTTTAAGCATGAAAAATCTAAAGATCTCCCCTTTCCAACATAACCATATAGACGTATAAACACATTTTCATTCATTTTTCTTCACAACATATGCAAAATATGAGCTTTCAATTCCACCAAGAGCAAACCACCATGCCCTTTTAAAATTGATATCCTACTTAACGTGTAAAAGATAAAAATGACCAGTTTTATTAGTGAGGAAATTTGATATTACGCATATTATAATACAGTGAAGTAACATACATATCTTTACATATATATAAATACGCACACATACACTGCAGGTGACAACTGCTGGAAGTTAGCTGCAAATTAATGATCATCATTTTTTGACATAAATTCAGCATTCATTTCAAGACAAATCTCAGATTCTTGTGTTATATAGGACTGTGAGCAGTTAAAAAAAGCAGTACAATAGTTAATGACACCTTTTGCCCATTAACATCAGCTGCCTCAAATATAAAGACATGATTAGTTACAGTATTTCTTATTAAACAATTGATATCTCCTATGAATGCCATTCTGGGGTAATCCACTACAGCTGGGTTTCCATCCCACATGCCAATCCAACAAGAAAGGACATCATTTTATTTTTCTTGTAACCACAAGCCCCTTTCCCTTTCTACTGGTTTTTATAATCCTGCCAATGCAACCTGATGAAATTCAAAGATAGTAATATTAAAATGGAGAAAAAAATGAAAGTATTGACAGAAAAAAAAGATGGGGCTCTGTCATAACTACCTGAACAAGGGTGGTGGTGGTTAAGAAATGGAGCTGTCCAGGCAACCACAACCTAGCAATTCTCAGAGGTGGACAAAAAGGGAGGATTTGAGAAAAATATTTATATCCTCCAATGAGAGAGAAATGGAGGAAATAGGAGTGAAGAAAGGGAATACCATATAAAGGTGAAACAGTAAGTATTGAATCTAAAGAAATCAAGGAAGGGGGCAGTTCTACACTGACCACCAATCCCGGGGATGATCCAACATGGCGAAAGTTGAAGCAGTCCCGGGATACTTTCAACCCCCTCCCCCGGGCAGCCACTGGAGACAAAGGAAGGAGTCCTGGCAATCCAGTGGCACTAAACCCGGTGTGGCAATTTTCATTTGTAATTTTCCTTAATGAAAATATGCTATTTTAAACTTTTGTGCAGACCGCAAAAACAAAGTATTTGCAATTGAATAAACGTTTTCCATGTTTCTTATGACAGAACCAATTAGGAAATGACATTTATAACCCAGGAACAAAAATTATGTACATAGTGTTATATCTCTGGAGCCATCCTGAGAATGAGGAATTGTTCCTCCTTCTTATCATGAAAAAAATAATATTTGAAAGCATTTGGAAATACTTTAATTTGCATAAATCAGGGTGTGTTGCGACTAATTTAGGCAGAGCTATGTACAAACTTACGGAGAAAGGGAAAGGGGCTAATGGTTACATCAAAAACAGAACATGGTCCTGCCTCGTCGGGTTGGCATGCAGGATGGAGCCCAGCTGTAATGGGTTGGTTACCATTCTGGCTGGCCCAGAAGCAACCTTCACAGTAGGTTCAATTCCTAATTTCATATGCCATATTGAGCTAAATCTTCAGGGAGGTAGGAGGAGATTCCTTAGGTCACCAGTGAGCAGATGAAACCTTTCCTAAATTTATTTGTGCACCATCTGTCTCTTCTGATCATCTGGGATTTTGATTAAATGGGTCAGTAAGATGAAATGCTTTTATTGGATTTTTACTCACATTCTCCATAAAATAAGGGCTTCTATATAAAATCAGACACAAAAGGTTAGATCCTATGACAGGCACATTTAAAACAACTTCCCTATCTCTTTCCCTCTGCAGTAAATCCTGCAGCCCTTGGAAAATGTGACACACCAGAACAGGGGAGCCTAACACATGGGTAAAATAGTGATGGCAATTCTTTTAAAAATGTTTAGCGGCGATTCCTGTGGCACCTTTAAACTACGGAAGGATCATGAATCCAACCCATTGTTTCATATTAACTGTCCTATTTCTTTGGAGGAAAAGACCACTACAAGCTTCAAATAATTAAAATTATGTTGGGGTAATTAATTAAAATAATTAAAAGAAATCCAGATAAGGCTCTTTAAATTGTTTCAAAGATTCAACCATGTAAGGTATTCTGCAAGAGTTTATTGAAATAAAGCTAATTATGGCAACGTCTTCACGTACATATAGTACTTTCATCAACGTATTCCAAACTCTACTGATGAGAAGGGACTTCAAAGAGCAGGGCAAATGCCCCGTTCTCATTCAGACAGGCAAGAATTTAACTGCATAAATTTACTGCTCCAACCCTGTGTGACCTCTGCCATCAAGCCTTTTTCCCCTTCTTTCTCACATTCCTCTGCAGCACCAAAATCTAATAGATGAACTCCTAGCCCTTCAGAGGTTTTGGGGTGCACAAAAGGACTGCAGGAAGAAGACCACACTGTCCCTTCCCAATTCTACCTGCGGAAGCAGAATCCTCATTGCATCCTTCCCAGCGCTGTTATCTCCCCCTCCTCCCAACGTGTCTTTGCTACCGTTACACAATTGCTCTGAAATACAGTTGCGAGGACACTAAGACCAGTGCCGGCCAATGCAATCTCACATAAAAATATTGATCTCACATTTATAATCTAAACATCACACCTTACAACTCCCCCCCCCCCTCCAATTTATTCCAAGATGTATTTACGTAAAATTGACACCTTGCTATCTTCAGGAATTAAAATAACATCTTGAAATAACATTTCTTATGGCATACATTTCATGGACTGGAGTGCATCTGGATCAAATTGAATTTGTTCATAATTGAAATGTGCAACAAACACCTTGTTTGTCAAAACAAATGAAGCACAGTTAATCCTCTGAAGCTGCAAACAGAAAGTGGACGTAAAGAGCATGAAATCTTTGTGCTTAATCTATGGCAATCTCTTCCTCATGAAGTCATCTGCACAGAAAAATAAAAGACCTTCAAAATCCAATTCTACTATAGCGATTATCACACTTTTTTAAGATTGGGAAGAGAGTCCACATTTACATTAAGCAGACAGTTTCGAGTAAAATCAAAGCTTAACAGGGCAAAATATGAAATCTTATTTAATAAAACAAACCCTCCACCTTTGCTTCTTCTTCTGTAACTTGCAGCTGATCTTGTGCAACCAGTCCAAACACTTGCACTGAAGTTTCTTCATGCTTCGGATTCTTTCTTCTTCTTCCCATCTTCTCCTAAATCACTGTCTTCTGATTGGCTGCTACTAAGGACTACAAACTGTCCTTCACCAACACTTTGGCTTGATCTACTGGAAGCAGCTATTAGTCGGCTTTGCTCTTCTAAATCCTGCAAGAAATCACTCACTTTTAAACAGGACACCAAAACTGACTGTGGATTGTAAATTAATGCACTTTAAATACCCTACACAAATTCTATGTTGTGACCATAGCACCTGAAATCCTGTTTCTCAAAAGGGACAGAATTGGACAGAGTTCAGAAAAAGATCAGGAAACTGGGAGGATTGTTACTATAAGAAAGGCTTACAAGGTTGCCTTTTCAGTTAAAGAAAAACGGCAACTGGCAGACCTGATACGAGTCTGAACATATATACAAGATGTGACTGACGTGGTTTGAAAAGCGGGGCTTAGTATGAAGGGTTGTGGTCAATGAAGAAAGCAAGAGGTAGGAACAGATTAACCTCCACTTCCATGGAGGGATGGGATGAGTAACGGAAACACGCAAAAGCGGAGGAATTCCCTTCAGTTGCAGGACACCCAAAAGTGAAACTAGCATTACCATAGTAAATCATTGATCAATTACAACCTCAAAATCAAATAAGAACAAAAAATATATAAACAGAAAGGTAGTATATTATTTTCTTGTGCTTTGAATCAGGGATGAGAGAGAGGAAGAGATGGGGACAAGCAGGAGGTAGAAAAGCACAACAAAAGATGTCTCTATAGGCCAGGAGCAACCCTTGCCTCTCTGCAGCTGATGGGAATGACAAGAGACTTGCTCCTAAGACAAAGGACCCATACATTCCTACACAATCATAGCATTATGATTCCACTTCAACTGCCATGGGTGGATACTGGGGCTGTTATTTCGCCAAAACACGTGAGTTCTCTGGCTGAGAATTCAGACTTTCTAGTAGTGTACCTTCAAGCTGTGCCTGACCCAGGATGACCCTAAGGCAACCGGTCACATAATTGTTTAGAAGGTCGGGCATTGCCTTCCTGAAGTTAAGCGAATGGTTAAACTGCAAAGCCAAAGACTGCATATGATGTGGTTATCATAACTCCACCAACAGCAGAATAGTGATACTGCTGTCACCTCCTTGTTATGGCCAATAAAGATAAATACAGTCAACTACTGGAAAACATCTGTTCACCAAAAAACTAATGTATGATTAGGTCTTTAGTCTGTCCAACAGAGCTTTTGTGTGTACCAAAATATAAAATTATCAGCAACAGTTCAAATTCAGAAACAATTTAACAGGGCTTTTACATTTCTAAGATCCTGGTGTAATCAAGAGGCATGATACAGACAGATATATGCAGGACAAGCTATCTGCCATATAAGGATGTCAAAGCATAATCTCTAGTAAAGATTACAATTCAGAACAAAAGGCCCTTCTGGTTTGACATCGTGGTTCCAACAACGTCAGCTATATTGTTATTTGAAGCCCCAAAATTGGGCATAAAGACGTCAAAAGGCCTTTCCCCAGCAGCTGGATTTAAGGTTATACATCCACAGAACACTGGAAATCCCATAGAACCTCCATAATTATTTATCTCCATCAATTTCTCCTTCAACAGCCCTAAAATTTGTGACCACCATCACACCTTCTCTTAGGAAATTCTACAGCTTTTCCAGATGTTATGCAGGCAAGTAGTTTGTCCTGTCTTCTACAAATCTACTGCTAATCAATTTCATTAGTTAAATTCAAATTCTAGTGATATGGGGGAGAAGAATGTCCATTTTCACCAGATAATTGATAAATCTATTGACCTACTATTTTGTAAGCTCAGAAACTCCTAAGGCTGGATCTGCATTCTGATTAAATTGAGAATTCTCCTGGATTAAATACTGAAACACACTTCTCTTCTATAAATAGACACTTTTTAAACAGAAAAGATCTGGCTATAATCAAATACATACCTTTTCAATTTGTTTTTGTTTACTAAGCTCCTTTTGCTGTTTTTCTTTTACTTTGTCTATTTCTTTCTGCTTTTCTGATGTTCTGCGATCCTGAAAAGTACAATCAGTGTGCATATACCAATAAGTACTGGGGAGAAGTGGAGATTGGTATATTTTGTGTGATCTATTTAAACAATTTCACATCAAAGTATTGACTGAGGGATTCAATTTCTGAACAGGGACTGTTTCTTGGCTCATTTCAGCACATACAAGTGAAACATACATGACCTTAAACACCTGATTTCCACATCATCAGACTAGTGAACCTGTAAATCATTCAACCAACTGACTAGATAACATTTACAATAAGCTAACCTTAGATTGATTTTTTTGTCTAGTTCGTAATCTGTAGGTTTTTTTTACTCACATCACTCACTTTGTGAAACATAAATATTTTATGTCAACAGCATTTGCACACTGAAGCAAGAGATGTCCATGAGAAACAGGTCTCTCTTTCTCTCTACACACACACACACATATTATGCTGACTAGCTTGACAATGTGTTCTATTAACTATCCTGGAATGCGGACTACTTTGCCAAGTTATATTTTTCTTACACACATCCTTGTTAATAGTACAGGGTAGTTGTGATTATTTCTGACTCGGGTTTGCCAGAATAATGTGTAGTGCTGAACACCTAATGAAGTACTCCATAATGTCTTTCAATGTATGTGAAGCCTACAAAACAACCATAGATTTCATTGCAATTAGAAGCCTTACCAGTTCAGTATGAAACGCAATCTGTTTCGCTATCCCTACAGAGTCACAGATCTAAATGGAAGAGAAAATAGAGAATCTGTCAGGACAACAAAATGTAATAATCTTTCAAGGGATGTGGTTTAATTACACCTTTAAATCATTCAATTATTTTGTTTATTCAGTAACTTCAATGGGAACAGACATACCTTTTCTCCTTCATTATTTGATTCAAATATGTAGCAGACAGATGTTGATCTGCCATCTGCTCTCCCTGTTGATGTCCGAAGCACAAACCCAAAAAGGCGCTTGTTCTCCTGGTGCGTGGCATACAGAACTACATTTGGCAAAGGGAACTGTGAAAGAGAAACAAAAGTACAATCAAAGCTTCACTGAAAGAATAAACGGATTTAAGGATGTGGTGAAATGATCACTGTTGTCATATACCTTCAAGTTAATGCTGACTTATGACAACATATCCTAAACTTTTATTTTAGGCATTGCTTAGGTTGAGAGTTTCATATATAACTTCCCAATGTTCACTCAGAAGAGTTTGCAGTATGTGGTTTCAAATGACAAGATTACCACATCAAAATGAATAAAATGGAACATCATGGAAGATGCTGTCTTGCTTGGCACAGAGGAGCATTTAACAGTATATAAACTCTTCTTACTGCTCTGAATGCAGAAACCACATACATTCATTTCCTCATCCACATGGAAAAAGGCAAGCTTGTCCTCCTTAAGAGATGCATATCTCTTAAGGAACTGATGCTCTGTCGGATTCCCAATTTGCTCCTATTGTGCCAAAGCAAAGAGATCCAGCAAAGTTAACAGCTGAGGCACACCACGAAACAGAAACTTTCTATCTTGAACTCTTAGCCCCCATTTATCCTAAACTTTGAACTGTTTCACATCCATTTAGTTATTTATAATGTCAGCTTTGTGTTACACTCCTATAAATGTTAATAGACTTTGTCCTTTTAAGAACTAAAATCAGTATACAGTTCTTTACTAAATATTTGCTTAGCACTAGGCATAACAGCTGCTTAGGGCAGTGTTACAAAGGTGGGGACAATAACACTGGTATTGCAGGGAGAACCAATGTCTGGGACTGGGAATCATGGGCAAATGGAAAATCACGTTGAAATAAATGGAAAAATGGCAACAGAAGAGAAATAAACCTGCACACAGCACGTTAGAGGTCTGCTCTTATTTTAGCAACTCACCCTTAATCTTGTAACTTGGGTCTGTGGATCAATTAACCTATAAATATTAATGTAGGAAACCAAATGTTATTCTACAAAGAAATAAGCTAAAATACATATACGTATGTATTTTAGCTTTAGAAAGAGAGGACTTACTTTAAGCAGTCACACGTAACTAACAAGTGCGACTCTGTCATTCTGAAAATGTTATGGATCGCTCGAGCTGCGAGTATTTGGCGCATTGTTTCATAAACAACGTCAGAACTTTCATCCGACTTCACCTCCATGGATCCAAGGAATCGTACAATAAATAACTGATGAAGGATGGAATCTACAATAAGATTAGATCAAACAAATGATGTGAATCATGTAGTAAAACTATCTCTCTCTTCTGACAACATCTCTGTCAATGTGATGATTGTGAAACAGTTCACAACCTTCATACATTATTAAAAATGACAAAAGCCAGTGCCTAAGACATCTGCTGTATATGTCAATCCATACTAATTTTAATCAGTTAGAAGGGATGATATCATTAAATAACCGTTGGGATCATATGGAAGAAAGGAGCAAACAGCCATACTGTCATGTAAGAGCTAGGCTACTTTACATACAAAGACAATATATATATATACTCTCTTCATCTTGTTCACACTCACAGCCTGCCATTTTTAACAGAACATTCCTTAAAATGAACACACTATTCTTTTTCAATGGTTACTATACAGACTTTTAAAAGTTATGTTAGACTTAATTAAAAGTCTGTTCTACCTTCTGTTTCGGATTTGGTTCCTCCAGATTCTCCAAAAGGATTTGTACGTCTGTCAAATATAGAAGACATCACATCAGTGACTGGCAAACACAAATTCATCAAACAAAACAATTATGTATTAAAACAAGTAGCTAACCTAGTTAGAGTTCTTTGGATCAGCTGACATTTCTGAACACTCTTCAACGTGGAGCAGGCATGGGCAAACTTCAGCCCTCCCACAATTTCCAACAGCCAATTTGCTCATGTTACAGAGGTCCAAACAGGATGTAGCTAGTCACTTACTACAGTGGTAAAATCTAGCATCTCAAGGAATAAGTGCAGTTGTTGCACAAGATTTAAAAGTGCAAAAGCATTCCAGACGATCTGGAAACCAGGGCCTTAAGGTTCAAAACTGAGTACACCCAAACTGTGCGCCGGTATCTTCAGGTGGAGTATAATCCCATCTAAAACAGGCTGAATCCCTATTCCCTGATCTGCTTTTTGATTGATTGGAAGCACATTTTTCTCTGGAATAAGTTCAATTTGTTTGCTCCATCAACTCCATTACTGCAGGATCTAATCACAATTGTTAGTCCCAACTAGAACACTCCATATAACAGTAAATCTGTAACAGGTCTACACTGGTTGGAACAAGTAAGTGGATTTAGATCCACACGCTAATCTATTAAAGCAGGGATGTCAAAACCTGTGACCCTCCAGGTGTTTAGGCCTCCAACTCCCAGAAGCCCTGACCAGATTGTACTTCAATGGAGACAAATTCTGGGACATGAAGTCCCAGGTTCAACAGCACTATATTAAAACATTCATTTATGAAATCATTATCCAGATGTAATTTTCTGAAAATATTAATGGAGCTTTAGTCTTCATCAAGAGAAATACTTTACAGGTAATAATTTAAGTGAAAATTTTCTAGGCTTCCAGTTTGTATCATAGGTAAAAGAAAGACTACTTAAAAAAAAGAGAGATCAGGTATGGTTCTTTAAAAAGGTCCTGTCTCTATGGGGTTGGAAAGGATGTCAGAGGTCATATATTATAAACCCTTGTTGAATTGCAGGTTTCATAAAGCTAGATGCAACTGTTCAGTTCTCCCTAAATTCCCCCAACATTGTCAAACTGTTCATACTTCAAAGGCAATTTTACTCTAGAATGTTTTAATGTATTTAATGTTGATTTTTAATTTTAATGTTAATGTTTTTAATTGTATACTGTGGTTAAGACATTGAATTTTTTCCTATCTATAAGCCACCTTGAGTCCCCTTCGGGGTAGAGAAAGGCGGGATATAAATATTGTAAATAAATAAATAAAATAAGTAAAATAAGCACATTATTGATAACCTTGGCTATACTGAGCTGCTATACTATTTATGTAAAGGTTCATAGAGGGAGCCACAAGACTCCTTAAGCCCACCATGGAGAAAAGTGTATTTCAGCCATCTGCTGATTAGAGATTGCAGGTGTCACCCTGAATTCTTGCTGGAATGCACCTGTTCAGTAGAATTAGATAAAGCTGAATAGGAGCAATTCAGCTTTGGCATCATAATTGTTATGACACAATGCGAAGACACTACCTGATTAAAGTCTAAAGTAGAGGTCCTCAGACTTTTTAAGCAGAGGGCCAGGTCATAGTCCCTCAAACTGTTGGAGGGCTGGATTATAATTTGAAAAAAAAACATGAATGAATTCTTATGCACACTGCACATATCTTATCTGTTGTGCAAAACCCACTTAAAAACAATACAACCATTAAAATGAAGAACAATTTTAACGAATATAAATTTATTAGTATTTCAATGGGAAGTGTGAGCATCCTTTTGGCTGATGAGATAGAATTGTTGTTGTTGTTGTGTGCTTTCAAGTCGTTACAGACTTAGGTTGGCCCTGAACAAGGGCAGGGTAAATGACCTTGGAGGGCCGCATTCGGCCCCCGGGCCTTAGTTTAAGGGCCCGTGGTCTAAAGCATGCTCACTTCTGTTTCATGCAAGGTTCAGTTACAGCCTTTTCAGTGTAGCAGCCCAGCAAAACTCTTGCCTGACATCTCCATTATGATCACTGAATCTCAGCACTGTTGCTCAAAAGATCTCACACATAAAACAGGAATTAAGAGCTCTCCTGACCTACACCTCTTCTGGTTGTGAATGCTCACAAGAGAAAGGAAAGATCACTAATTCTTTTGTTCATAGGGATCACTTGTCAGTCATAATGGGCTGAACCTGTATCTCAATTAACACCCAAGTGTTATTAACTATAATAAAGATATGCAAAATGTAACAGGAATCTGCAAATAGCAAACAGTAGTTCTCCTTGTGTTGCTATTCCCATACAAATTACAAAACCTGATACACTTGCACAACACTTGGACAGAGTATTAGCCAAATATCGCCTGTCCGTGCTTTGGTTTGGGGTTTCTTTCCCATCAACCTTCCTGCATTCCACTTCAAGACATGCCTCTGAGTTACTACAGCTTGGTGTCTAAAGAACACTACCGTCCACTATGTTTTAAATGTATCAACACATAATCTGTAAGGACAAATAATCTCGAATACGTCATAAGAATGTTCTAAGTTTGAATAAAATCATCTTTAAATGTATGAGCCAGAAGCAATATTGGGGAGGTAGTGGAGCAATTAGGTATCTGAAATGACTAACAGCCTATTTTCCCAATATGTATTACTCCAGAAGCCTAGATCATTTTCACTCACCTTTTTAACTTAGGAAGAAAATCATCAGAGCACCATCACCACCTGGAGGCAGGGCTACCACCTATCTCTTGAGTTTCCAAGAGGAAATACCCAAGGTGCTGAGGCAAGCGAGCAACAGGAAAGGAAAACATACTTTTTAACAAACAAAAATTTATAAAGCCTCCACAGCAGGGTGAAAGATATCTGCTGCAAGAAATAGAACACCACACAGAGCGCAAGCATCAAACATGTTCCCACCTGCAAAAGGCAGTTGAATCTGTTCTGTTACTTGAAGTTGGTTTTGAATCTGTTCTGTTACTTGAAGATTTAGCTAACACAGCCTTTTAATGGACTGTACTTTAAGCCAGAGCTTCCCTTTCTGGAATTTCATTAGCTCCCATCAATTTTAAACATTTAATGGCCAACCCGATAGCCATGAACTCCAATTAGATTTCACCCTCAATCCGAAACCTGAAATCAGCCTCAAAACTTGGTCATACGTCCTAATTATAAACAAGGTATTCTGGGCTCATCCATCATTAAAATGGGTGCAAGGAGTACAGGCAAATCAGATTTGTGAAAGGGGAGGCACAGGATGGAAGTGAGGACATTATCCTACAGCCTCCTCCTAATTCTTAATCATGGTTAAGGGAATGTATGTTGTCAGTCAATCTCATTCGCTCAGAGATGACTTTTTTATGAGTGCACAACTATAAATCCTTTGCTGCTGTTACCTTACCTGCCCCCTTGCCCTGATGTTTTCGCTTGACCAGGTTGATCCTCGCTTACTGGAGAAATGATGTCAAATTGTATTGGAGTGTCAGGTGCAACAAGAGAGTCCAAGGAAAGTGCTGATAAAGATGCTGAATCTGATCCTATAGATCCAATACTGCTAGTACGCGTTGTGGGAGGACGGGTCTGCCTAAAAAAGAAATCCAATACATTTATTTTAGAAGACTAAAAAGAAATTTCTCCAGTTATATACATGTTTCCTATTGCTGGAATTGAAAAATGCGGAAATTCAGAAATTGGAACTCAAAGTGACTAATAACATATTTAAAAAGGACAGTCAGAAATTCACACAAAACAAAAACTGAAAAGATTAAACAAAGCCATTAAATAAATCTTTAAAAACACAGTGGTTTAGCAGTATTCCAGCCTTTATATTTAATTTTATAATTTTCCTGGTTTTAGGCCTTCCAAGTCGCCCAGTTTTCTGTGTGCCCAGGAGGAAGTCTCTCATTTGGTATCAGCCACTGATTGAGGTTCTGGGTTTGAGCCTGCCACTTTTGGACTCTCGCTTGCTGAGGTGTTCCAACGAGTGTCTCTGTAGATCTTAGAAAACTATTTCTTGATTTAAGTCGTTGGCATGCTGGCTGATACCCAAACAGGGGATGGGCCAGAGATGTCACTGCCTTGGTCCTTTCACTAATGGTTGCTACTTTCCAGTGGATGTCAGGTGGTGCAATACCGGCTAAACAGTGTAATTTCCAGTGGTGTATGGCACAGACACTCCGTGATAATGTGGCATGTCTCATTAAGAGCCACATACACTGTTTTAGCATGGTGAGCTGTGTTCCACACTGGGCATGCATACTCAGCAGCAGAGTAGCATAGCGCAAGGGCAGATGTCTTAGAACATGTTAATTAAACAATATATGTTCCTTGCAACTTACGGTGTGGGCCTCATGCTTTCATGCCTCTGCTGGAAGGAAGGTGAGGGAGTGACAGACTCCAAAGCTGACTGATTCACACGTGCAGCCATTTCCTGTTGTTGGAAACAAAACAAAAATGAATCAAAGTGTTTCCTTTCACTTACATTTAAATGGCAGCTTGAATATTAATAACTCTTGACACATATGGCACAACGGAAGCCATAAATCTGTATTTGTATTTATTTTGAAGCCAAAGGATTAACACATTCACATTACCTCTGGGTTTTCACTTAGATATATCTGTTTGGAGATGTTGTTAATTGTACATATCCACTGAAAAAGAAAGCAAAGAAGTATAACTATAACACCTCGTATTATTATTTTTTAATTTGCTATATTTGTATACTGCCCTTCTCAGCCCTTAGGCGACTCAGGGCGGTTCTGTCTCAAAATTTTCTACTTATATATTTTTCACCCCAATTCTTTGTGCAACATGCTTCCTGTGCATTTGAAACAATTAAAAAAAAAAAGAAATTCAGAATGAGCCAAAAGGTGATAATCAGCTAAAAAAAAAAATGTTCTTTTTTTGCCAAGAATATTTGATTACTACCAAATATCCTTAATATTTCTACCTGTGAATACTTATGTTCTTCAATAAATTGTTGATAATTCAATTGTGCATATACACAAAATTTAATAATTAGGTGAATGTTATAATCAAACTTTAAAGTATCTGAAAATATATGGCTGATGGACACCTATCAACATCTTTTACTAGTTCTGCTGACATCAATGTAAAATCTCTATACATACCAGTATTATATCATGACAGATTAATCTAGCTCACTCTGCCAGTTGCTCTAAAGATGTATATCTGGGTGGTGCACAAATTCAGGGAAAAGCTAGTCAGAATTCAATAATCAGTTCGAATTAGATTGGTGCTCTGTGCTTTATTTCTGTAAAAGTTGTCAGTACATTCAAACACACAGTTCCTGTTGAATAGCAGCAAACTTTTGAGACAGAAGGAACAGCAAAAGCAGTATAATACAACTCTGGAGACCAGGGTTCAAAAATCGTTCAGCCATGGAAACCTTATGTGGCCTTGGGCAAGGCACACTCCCTCAGCCCCTGAGAAAGCCAAAGGCAACCACTCTCAACAAATCTTACCAAGAAAACCCCATGGCAGGTTCATTTTAGGGTTGCTTCAATTTGGAAATACCTTGAAAGCACGTAACAACATTTTTCCTGGGGAAGGGATCTGCAGCTTTCATAAGATTGTCAAAGGGATGGTGACCCACAAAAAAAGAGTAAGAACTGCTGCTAAAAGAGCTGAAAGCTTGTCTGCTACATTTGTAGCTAAACATCCATTGTGCTGTGCAGCTTACCTCTTCATAGTCCTTTTTGCTCTCCGCTTGCAAAATTGAAGATCTAGCAGAAAAAAGAAGTAAGAAAGTTAGCTCTACATCTTGAACGAAGATACAGCCTTTGATCTGTTTGAATGTTACATTCCATTTTAGTTGGAATATTTATTTACTGAAAATAGAATTAATTTCCAAATGTATATTTGTAATTAAATTCCAAATGTATATACATACACATTTGGAATTAATGTACAAACGTGTATGTATATATGGCCTTCCAAATGTGTTCATCAGTCTATCTATGGCCTGGAATATACCAGCAATGACATATACCTAGTTGTGCCCATGAGCTAAGATCTGAAGGGAAACTACTCACTAATAACAACTGAGAAAGGGTTCAAAACCATGAAATATCTATATAACACTTAGAAGAAGAAGAAAATACATATGTATTGTCGAAGGCTAAAATTACAACAGCAAAACAGCAGAGAGCAAACAATCTGGGACAGCGAATCACCTTTCAACAAAAGATTGTCCCAGGCACTGCTAGGCCATCAAATGCTAATAAAGGTGGTCAGTTGAAACATTCACACCTAGCTCCAGCAGACAAGAGTCCTTTGTCCCACCCTGGTCATTCCACAGATATATAAACCCTTTTTCCTAGTTCCAACAGACCTCACTACCTCTGAGGTTGCTTGCCATAGATGCAGGCGAAACATCAGGAGAGAATGCCTCTAGAACATGGCCATATAGCCCGAAAAAAACTACAACAAACTAAAAATGCATACTTTTTCCCATCAAAAGATGTTATTTGAAAGCAGTATCTCCGATCCTCGCAGTCCACAGCCATGACTGAACAGTTGTCTATGTCCATAACAAGCCCTCCAGCCACATCGCCTCTTGCCTGGCTCATCAGGTTTCCGCCCTGAGTGAAGTAAAACTGCCGGTCCCAACTGGAAGACACCAGCCCTGTTTTACTGAAATAAAGAAGTAGTAAGGTAAAAGTTTCCCCTTGACATTCGGTCTAGTCATGTACGACTCTGGGGGGTGGTGCTCATCTCCATTTCTAGGCCAAAGACCCAGCATTGTCAGTAGATGCCTTGAAGGTCATGCGGCCAGCATGACTGCATGGAGAGCCATTAAAGAAGTAGATTGGCTTAATATGGCCATCATTAAAACATCAGGCTGCCCCAAAATGTGGACTATTATAGGAAGTTTGATACAAATTATAATATATATCTAACTCTTGGCAGCAGGCTAAAACCTTTTTATTCAGACAGTTTGTTTTTTTTTTAAAGGGAAGTTTTAAAGATCATGTCAGGGGATGCTATGGTTTATATATTTTTATGGATTTAATCTGAATTGTTTTTAATACTAATGATGTTTAATACTGTTTTAATATTTATATAATTGTATATTTTAAATTGTATTGTAATGTTTTTAATGTCACCTGCTTTGAGTATTCTTATGGAGAGAAAAAGTGGGATATAAATAAACATAATAATAACAATAATAATCTCTCCTCTCCCCCAGCCCCATATATAGGATAAATAAATGCATCCCAAAGGCCAAATATAAAGTAGTTACAGCAATCCAATGAATATATATATTCTTGTACAGCATATAACCAGTTCTTACCTTCTTGCATTAAGATAACCAGCTTTTCGAGTAAGATTCCTTTGTGAAGGAAACTTTGTAGTATCAGGCTCAGGCAAGTAGAGTGGGTCACTGGCTATTTCCAAATCTTCTATAGTTTGTTGCATTATCTCTACTTCACGATCCATTTCCTTGCGAACCCTGAAGAATGAAGAGATTTTTTTTTTTAAAAAAAAGCTAAAATTATAAGAACTTTGAAATATTTATTTAAAATAGATTGAGGCACTGGTTCTGGGGGGGGGGGGGGGGGGGGGGGGAGAGTTCACTTACTCTTGCACACTTGTTCCAATATTTGTTAAAAATTCTTCCAGCTGTTCTGAAAGATTTTCTGAGCCCATTTTAAAGAAGCTTATCTTTAAAAAAAAAAAAGATAATTCAGTCATAGAACAAATAATTTTCTTCACACAAATGTAATTCAATTTGGGATTTAGCTATAAGGCAGACACTAAATATTCTGTGCATATTCAAGAAAGTAAGTCAATCCACACTATATGTACTTAAGTACATTTGGAATTGACAAAAGTGTTTACATTTGTCCTTTTTACAACGACCATAGAATTTAGAATATGAAATTCTGTTAATTTTAAGAAGGGAGATACACTTCAGCTTAACTTGTGCTTGTATATGCTTATTTTTCCTTGAAAAGTTAAATAGCCTCAGTCCTCCTTTCTGATCTAGCTGTAGAGAGAGTTTTATGTACTGGTTTACAGGTATACAAATATATTAAATACTCAGAACATTGCCATTTGAAATTGCCAAACCATTTTCTTTATTTCTTTTTAATCCCTTAGTCCTTAACTTGTAGAAACAAATGTTATATTGGTGCCAGTAAATTGAGTACACAGGCAAACAGTGCTGCCTATTGCCTATCAAAAGCACTTAAGAAAATTCTTGACTGACATGGCAAAATTCAAGATCTAACGAAGGGGCATTACAGTTGTCTCTGCAACAGAGTCACCCTGGTATACCTAGTCACCCTAACAGCAAATACTGCATGATTTAAACAAAATAATTCACTCACATATATAGTTTCAAATTTCATTTCTGCAGATATTCACCTGAGCTTGCATGTAGCCTAATAAGGGTTCTAACATGGCAATTTTCTTCTTATACTGCAGAGTATTTAGAGCACAGAAATAATGCATCATAGTCTGATGTTGTTTCTTTCGGGACGTATAGACATCTTCCATAACTTCATATTTGACCTAAATAAAGTAAAACAGAATTTCTGATTCAAGACAGAACATTTTAACATGAAAAAGTATGGATTATATAGCATTGATGAAATGTTTTATGATCCGAGAAGGATACAATATATACATTAAAAATTCTCTCTCTACTTCCACATTGGCCTTAATTATCGCAAATAGAGAGTACTTTTAAAATATCCTAAGACACCACAACACATGGGGAAACGGAATTTGTTTTCTGTACAATGCTACCCTAAGTATGTCCACCATTTAAGAATTACATACTCCTGTTACAGTCATTTTAGCTACTGAATTTAAAGTTTCAACCTTCTCATTTTCTCTCTTTTTTGACAGTCGACTGTATCTGTTGATGGCAGCATCATGGTCTGCAAAAGAAAGTTACACTGCATTCAAGTAGGAGTAACATACAAAATGCTCAAGATGAAATTAACTTTCACAGAAGTCATGTTTTGTTTTTATTAAAATTAAGTTGATATTATAAAATAAAATACCACAGAAATTAGGAAATGTAATTTTCTCTCCTCCATGTTCCCATTTGACTTGTTAGAAGTACTTGAAATCAAAACTACTATGATGTTTCTGATATTTTAGTTCTTCCAGAAATATTTCCACCATTTGAGGAAAAACAAGTAAAACTTCTTGACTTTAATAATGCCTTCCCTTCAACACCTCCAAAAATATCTGAGGATGACTGGAATTTTGATCCATCCTATTTGAAGGGAATTTGGTTTGTGGGGGCTATTTAATATACTTGTTTTATATCACACAATTGTCCAATCACATATGATAACATAAAGAGCATACCAACAAATTAACAATTAAGTCTTACCATTGCTTGAAATCTGGAAAACTTCTTTTAAAGTCAATATCTCTGAAATGAAAATGTCTCATATAAACAGGCAAATTATTGCAGCTCTTTCTAGAGTAATGTTAAAGTGAAACTACTGAACAATGACTCGGTTCACCTAATTTGTCCTAATCTTTAACAAACCAAGTGATAACAGGCTTTATAAAGTATCAAATTTTCCACTCAGATTAAAGAGTTCTCTCCAATGTTTGTGCAAGTGGGAGGTAATTTAACAAAGACAAGTTCCTTTCACAAAGTCAAGTTGCTTCAAGTGGTTAGGATGTCTCTTCATGTGAAAGAACTATGGCTCCAATCACTGTTCAAATTCTACCAAGTTGCCAAAGGACAAACAATTGCTCAAAGAGCCAAAACGCAGACATGCAAAAACTGTCCAAAAGAGAAGTTCACTGTCAAAGACAACAGCACTGGCGGGAAAAACCTGGAGCCTGGCAGACAGGGACTTTAGCTGGCATGCCCTATTTCATATTATAAAAATTGGGCCATTGCTGACAAGGGTCAACCTCATGCTGCTCCCCTGAACAGAGAAACAAGGCTGTGTCCATTGACATATTGAATTGCCCACCAACAGGCAGTTCTCACACTTTTAAACCAATTCTTCAGAGGCCATAAATCCCTAAGCAGCAGCACAGGGGAAAAAAAAATATAAAGATGTAAAAGGAGGAAAAAAACAGAGAAAGGTAGGGAAGGTATTAAATGTTAAACAGCAGAGAAAGAATGAAAAAAAAACCCATTATTTTAAAGTTTCCAAAGGAAAGGAAAGACATCTAGCTCACAGAAAAAAGGTCTTGCTCTTGCTCTCACCTTGGCACTTCAAGCAGAATTTATGGTGGCCTCACCATGGAGCCTGCACTATGGGGATCCCAAAAAACCCATAGATGGCTGTATCATGGAATTCTGCATTGATGCAGTCCCTATACCTGCAATCCACAGACCAATCTTACTGTTCTGCCCAATTTGGAGATTCCCCACCACAACTGTCCTGTATGAGAGAGTGTCCACTGTTCCCATCCCTTAGCTCTCCAATCAGTGGGTCCCAACCTTTGTTCCTCCAGATGTTTTGGACTTCCGCTCCCACAATTCCTAACAGTTGGTAAGATGGCTGGGATTCCTGGGAGTTGAAGTCCAAAACACCTGGAGGACCAAGGGTTGGGAACCACTGCCTAGGCATATGAGGAGACTACAGGGGAGGCAGAGAAAAATAAAAAGTCATGCATGCTACCTTCTAATTGTGCGATCACTGACCACAACATTAGGACTGAAAAATCAATCTTACAATTAAAGTGATTAACACTCAGAAAAAGTAGCACATGCCAAATAAAATATGTATGAAGACTTCAACCTTAAAACTTTATATTGTTAACTGGCACATATTATTATTGTTACAGTTTATTTTTAATTAACCCACAATTCTGACACAAAATGTCTCCCATGGGTCAAGAACTACTCTCAAAAGCCATGTTCATTTTTTAAAATGGTCAGTGTTTTTATGTAGCACTTTCAACTAAAAGCTCTAAATCCAATTTATTGCCGAAGGCTTTCATGGCTGGAATCACTAGGTTCTTGTGGGTTTTTTCGGTCTATAGAGCCATGTTCTAGAGGCATTTCTCCTGACGTTTCGCCTGCATCTATGGCAAGCATCCTCAGAGGTAGTGAGGTCTGTTGGAATTAGGACAATGGGTTTATATATCTGTGGAATGGCTGGGGTGGGGCAAGGAGCTCTTCCCTGCTGCAGTTAGGTGTGAATGTTTCAGCTGATCACCTTCATTAGCATTTAAAGGCCTGCCTGAGCCTGGGAAAATCTCTTGCTGGGAGGTGTTAATCTGTGCCTAAATCCAATTGTTAGTTCCAACTTGAGCAGAACCAGTGAATCTGGATGTTTCTAAATCTTGATTAGACCAAAGGCATAGTATATATGAACATAAAGATAGGAAAGCTGATGTTAAATAAATTACTGTGCAGACACAGCAACTGGGTTGGCAGCTATTGTACCTTTTAGATCTCTTTCCTTGAACTGGGTTACTGGAAACATCATAGCATCAGCTAGTTGAGTTGACAGCACTGCATGACAAGAACTGAGCTATGGAGAAAAAAGCCACACAAGTTTGTATGGAAATTCATTGATTCTTCTTCCTTCACAATGGCCATATTCATACAAACAAGCCAAATATTCTAACACCTCAACTGCATTTTTTGCAAATAGAGTGCTCATCATCTGTTCCTATTCCTTTTTGATGAGATAATTAAGTTGCTCCCTTACTGGGAAATGTGGCTTATTGTCCTAAACAAGCCAGGATTTGTAACAAAACAATAAAATCGGTTTAAAGTTGTCATATTAATTTGGCTTTGGGATATAATAAACTGTGATCTTAGGTTTGCTTAGAGATGACCCCAAAGTTGGCTTTGCCTGCTGTGAACATTCCTTTTTGAGGAAAGTGCACAGCAGGCAAAGCCAACTGTAACAATGGTTACATGAACACTCCTTCTGCCAGTCCTAGGGACTATGGAGCTACAACCACCCTGTACTTTTGATCACTAGAGAGAGCAGAGGGCAGGCAAATATCTTCCAACATGAAATGCTGTAATTGAAAGAACATAATGTTTAGACTTTCCATCTTTCCATTTTTCAGGACCAAAACCTTGACCTTTATCTATAACATTTAGTACAATGGGGCATCACTCCTAAATCAAGCATTCTGGTACAATTACAATATTAAGCATAAATGACAAATATAAATATATTTCTAAATGAAATTAAATCAATGCAGGAAAACACATCCTGTGGATTTAAAAGCGCAATATAACCTCTTTAATTTAAAGAAGCCAATTAAGATTCAAACTTATTTATAGAAAAGGGACAAAAATTGAGTGCCACTAAAGTTTAAGGATAAAGCTCCTTTGGCTGTTGTAAGCAACTAATCTGGTTTTGAAATATAAAGGCAAATTATTATTATTTCAACTCATTATAATTACAAATAGTTAACTTAGTATCTAGAAGTAATAAACATATAACCATACCTCATCTATCACTTTTGCAAATTGTTGCAGAGTAGAATTCATAACTTCATCATCTCCCCACAAAGGGAAACGCTGCCACACAAAAGGAGAAACAAAATATATTTTATTAGGCATTATAACGCATTAACATTTAATGCAAATTTAATGAAATGTACCAATATTTATTATATTAAAACACTAAAAATTGCCATCCTTAAAACTAAAAATACACTACCACAGTCCTGCTATATTATGAGAATTAAAACTCTTGGATGATTATGGGCCAGAAAAAAAGTATTTGGGATCCCTAACCCCTTAATCTGGCCAAATTAATTATTTTTTAGTAGACTTATGTTCTCCACGCATGCTCTCAAATATCTAATTAAATCATGCAAGTATAATTTCAGACTGATGTAAACCTGAAATTATTTGTTTTATTAGAGCAGTCCCTATAATACTGACAAATTTACCATTCAGCTCTTGCACTTTCTTTAGTAATACAGGTGGATATGTAGAAATGAAACAAACCTTTCTCTAGTATGGAATGCAAATACTAAATGTGCTTAATTTATTTTTTCCAAGCTACAATTTAAATATATATGAGCTGACACACTGTAAGAAGTTGGGAAATGTGGTCAGGCAATTACTATTTTCTGTGCCTTACCTGCTTTTCATATTCTTTCAAAAGCTTTGAAGTCAAATGGGTAGCTGCACTCAATTCATTCTAGTTGGGAAAGAAAAGTAAATTTATTTTATTTTTATCCCACATGTCTCTCTTGATATAGGCACTCAAGGGATATTTCTCCCTTATTTGCACTGATAACAGAAATTACACAGAAAGGCTATGAGGGCCAGCAAAGGCATAATGTTCAAATTATTTCAACATTATTGGTGCTGTGCTATGATTTTAATTTGTTTGTTTGGAATTTTGTCACAAAATAATTTGTTTCACACTTTATGAGTACCACTTGTGAACTTTTCTGAGTCAGAACCATATACAATCAAGATCAGAGAATGGTCTATCATTTGAAAGAGGACACAACATTATTCCTTCCAATAGCAAAATCTAAAATCAACTGGTTTGAAATCAAACACAACAAACCAGAAGAAGATTGATTATTTTCCAGGAGACCCCCAAAATAAATAGTCCTAAGGAAAAAAAAAACATGTTTCAAAAAAATCATGTACATAAATGAGTAGGCTTTTACATGGAGAAGAGAACACAATGTTTTGTGGCAGTTATACAAAATTAAAACACAACCATGAATTCTGAAAGTAACAACGGATTGCAATTTCCTAGGATATGTGATGCAGCAAGGTTAGAAAATACATGGATGGAAGGGAGTAGCAGCTGAAAACATAATGGGTTAAACATTCAAGGAGCATTACTGCTAGACGTTGAGGGTTAATGAGAGAAAATTCTTTGGGAAAACAAGTGAGAAACAGGATAATTTCAGAGCCCTTACGAAGGAGTTTTTAAATGGGATGGTGAAAAAAAAAGAAATTTCCAATAATCTTCCTGATGTAAATGGACTTGTGAGCACAGGTCTATTCCACAGGTAGAGACAGGTTTGCTTCTGGTTTTTCAAAGAGAAAACATATATGCAATAATAATGTTTATTGAGATTCTGGTCCTGCTTCCAGGTTAAGAGTGCAAAAATTATGAACTGAAACAAGGTGTTGCTTTAAACATGGGATGGGACTTACACAATCCTCCAAAATTTCTTGAATTCCAAGTCCCAACATGCTTGGCCACTGACTATGATGCTTTATATTGCTTGGAGATATAGTCCAAAAATAACTGGTGGGGGAAGCATCAAAATAACCGTCTTTGTTTTTTAGGGTTTTCCTTCTCAACTTTCATTGCACAATGTTATGGTGTATTTCTGAGTAGAAATAGTTCCTCAACTTGTCAAGTTAATGTACTATTGTGCGTATCTCTTGCTGATACAAAAGGAAAATCTATAATTATTTAAGTAATTGCCAACTAATACATAGTCGCAATGTTTAAACCTAGATCATGTATCATCTAAACTCAGAGAAGTAACCTGCACTGCATAAGCCTAAATCATGTGTGTCAAGCAATTTCCAACAAATACATTGTCTCATGACAGAAACATTATAGAAATATTGCAACATCCACACACTTACATCATACACAAAAGAAGCTGGTAAAATTCTGAGAATTAATGTCTTCTCTTGAGCTCTTATGACACAGGATAACAGAAAACAGTGTCCCAATCATATTATTTGCAAACGCATTTCAAGATGTGCCAACTTTTGAATTTCTGCATTTGTCACCATACCTGAGCATCATAGATTCGGTGCATTGCTTGATACAATTGGCTAACATATCTTGAAATTGCAGCAGCATCTTCTTCAAATACACCCAGCAAAGACCGTGTCTAAATATCGAAGAGACAATGCATATTTTTATAATCCTGCAATTACAGTACTGAAGATAGATTCTGACACCACCAAATGGATGGCTAATCCAGAGCTGAAATGTATTGCTACCACAGGTTGGGCACATATCCGAGGGAACAGTGAGTCAAAAACGGTGAGAATTTTTGCAGTGGTGTGTGGTGGAACCCCCTGCTTCTTGGCAGGGGGTTGGACTGGATGGCCCATGAGGTCTCTTCCAACTCTTTGATTCTATGATTCTATGCACTCCCAAGGTCCCCTGGATTAATGTATTTCTCACAGTTGCCCACTCCTGCTTTAAAGCAAGTACTGAAAAGGCAACAAAATAGTTGGATTGCTGTTTTAAAAGTAGCTACATCTATTGTTATTTTCTGTTTTTACTATAATGTTAAATCAAGTGTATGATATCTGTGGCAGTTGCAAAGGCTGAGTTTCAATTTTTTCCTTAAGTAAGCTCAAGAATAAATATACACTTGAAATGTAAATCCTACATTATATTAAGGGGGAAACTAAAACGCCTATTTCTGATCTATCTACTACATGAGCGACTGAGAGAGCCTTTGTGTTAGATTGTCCAGAATCATTTGAAAGATACCAAACACTTAGAACAGAACAAAACACGTAAAAAGTAAAAGGATGGCTCCATTAGTAAAAGTGAAATAAGTAATACAGTAACAGAAAAATACAATATACTGAGGCAGTGGTTCTCAACCTGTGGATCCCCAGATGTTTTGGCCTTCAACTCCCAAAAGTCCTAACAGCTGGTAAACTGGCTGGGATTTTTTTGGGAATTGTAAGCCAAAACACCTGGGGGCCCACAGGTTGAGAACCACTGTACTAAGGGAAGTAAGAAGGAAAATGCTACAAAAATGGTACAGGACTCCTGCACAACTTTCACCTTTTTTACCAGGTGTAAAGGACAGGTGTAAACAAAGAGGTGTTTAATCACATGATATGGGAATGCGATAGAATGCAGGCATACTGGAGAATGACTGAAGGAGAAATTAATGAAATGTTAAACCTTCAAATAATAATAGCAATAGAATATATTACATGCAACGATACCAGGAGTGTATAATGTGCAAAAGGAAAGAGTGGCTGACAAATTAATAGTGTGTGCTCAAATTGTTTTAGTGAAGGGTTGGAAAGATAAAACAAAGTGGACTCTGACAAATTAGTATAACTATATAGTAAATATATTAAATGTGAACATAACAAATTGTAAACTGAACAATATAGATAAAATAGAAAATGTTATAATAATTAAGAGTATGTGGGATCCAGTTAGGAATTACTTTAAAATGTATTAAGATGTGGAGTGGAAAAATTGACATTACGATGTAGTCCATTGTAACAATGCTTTTGGGTGAAGCTTGTGAAGCAGGTGAATATAGCACTAAATGTAATATGTAGAATAATCACAGGATGTTTTAAACCTACACATACGGATAGACTTTATAAGCTAACTGGCACTGCACATACACACATCCCCATGTGTGACAGGAAGTTGCGAGACAAATAATGCTTCCATCAGCCCTTGCCCGCATAGTCAATGGCAATGAATTCTGGGACCTGCAACTGAACAATTTCTGAAATTGGAATAGGAAGAATCTTAAGACATACATAAATTCAACAACAGTATAAAAAGACTACACTGACTGGTGGGGAGCCCCTGAAATGGAAGTACATACCATATTTCCCCTAGCAATTCATAAATTTATTCTGGAATCAATTTTTACAGGATGGTGACTACCATAAATAGAGTTTTTCAGCCATAGCCTGATTTATGGGAAATGTGTCAATTAATACTTGTACAAAGCAAAAAGTGGAAATTGCATATTCAATGCAGATTATTCAGTATAGTTGATGCTTCCAGTTAAGAGATGCTGATGACACATAAAATGACCTGCTACTTCCAGCTGGTCTTCTTTCCATACTGGACTTAGATCTAGTTTCTGAGTCACCAATTACAGAGAGATAAATAGTCTTGTGTATGCCTTCTAGAGTGGATATTTTGAGATTTTTTAAATGTATGCTGGGATTTTTTTTATTTAAGGAACCCTTCATTTTCACACTCACGAGAATCAACTATTAAAAGAACACAAATTACTACTTTTGGTTTTTATATTGCCAGTCACAAAGTTACTGAAGTCTACATCGTATATTTCATAAGCAAATAACCTGGAAATCCTTTGCCATTATTGACATCCCCAAGCTTTAGAAAAAACAACTTAAGAAACTAAAATTAACCTTATTCTAATCTGTGTTCCAAGGTCACAGAATGCTATTGGTCTGTTTGGGGTGGGATAGAAAATACACCAGGTCATCTGGTGGTGCAGTGGGTTAAACCCCTGTGCCAGCAGGACTGAAGACCGACAGGTCACAGGTTTGAATCCGGGGAGAGGCAGATGAGCTCCCTCTATCAACTCCAGCTCCTGGACATAAGAGAAGCCTCCCACAAGGATGATAAAACATCAAATCATCCGGGTGTCCCCTGGGCAACGTCCTTGCAGACGGCCAATTCTCTCACACCAGAAGCGACTTGCAGTTTCTCAGGTCGCTCCTGACACGACCAAAAAAAAAAAAACCTGGAAAATGGCACTGTTAGCTAGATGGCAACATTGTACCTCACACTATCACATATTTGGTAGGAAGGGCCCGGCTATGGTCTTTTACAAGCAATCACCCATCACTCTAACACATAGGAAAATATTTTTCACACAGAGACATACAAACCAATGTTTCTCAGTAAGAGGTGTTCAGAAGGGTTTATGCCTTTACCTTCCTGAGGCTGAGAGAGTGTGACTTGTCCATGGTCACCTAGCAGGGACTTGAACCCTGGTCTCCAGAGACATAATCCAACATTCAAGCCATTACATCACGCTGGCTTCCTTGAAGGACTTGATCACTAGCCTTTCTAAAATTTCCCTCACTCTCTCAAGTGTAGATGATCACTGAAGAAATTGGTGGTTTTCTTTTCCAGTTGTGATTTTCTATTGGCAAGCCTTTTCTTTTACTGGTTCAGACATTATATTCCGGGCTTGCATGTATCTTTACTTCATTGCACTGGTATCACTGAGTCTTGAGCCAATCAATCTGGATGTAGACATCTGCAAAGTCTTTCTAAACTATTTACCTGAGCCTGAGATAGTTTCTCTAATCTATTTTGTATCAAGAGTCATTATTTCTGAATGTTTTTGAAACACATTCTCAAAATTCAGTGGTACTTAAATCTAGTTGTGGTTATGTTAACATACAATCCTAATGTAAAGCAATGTCTTCAAGGCTCCTCAAAAAATTATGGACTCCTCTATCAATAATGGTGGCCAAGCTGCTCACTTCATCTCAGTGCAACATTCAAATAGGGAGCTAGTTAACATGTTTTAAGATGCATTCTCAGTGTGATAGCAGAGACCCACAGGATTGAGCACTCTTTCTTATGACACAACTGGTTTGAGACCTAAAATATGATGCAGAGTCTTTACACATCAGACAGATCAGGGTGGAAAGATTCCCCCCCCCCCCAAAGAAAGAAAGAAAACTGTAGTCCAATTTAGTGGATCGAGCAAGCAGCCAAAATTAAATCTGAACATTCATTTATTATTTCATGTTCACCATGTCCAAATGTTATTTCATACTAGTAAGTTTATTATGAAAGTTTGGCTCACTTAGCCAATAATGGAAGATCTCTTGTACTGAATAGGCAATGTGGTTTACATACAATCTCCTGAGAAATGAGTGATATGGAAAAATGTTGTCATCACAACAGTTTTACTCATTCAGCTTTGCAGATCACAACCCTCAAAGACATTTCACCAGTCTGCCTTTAACTGTGTGGAAAGTCTTGAGCAATGGTTTTGACAATGTACTGGACAGCCACAGAACTTCACATTAAAGTGAAACATGGCTGTTAACTACAATGTTTCTCTGTCCCTTGATAAAACACCATGTATAATGTTAAATGGTTCTGATTTTTTATACATTTAATGTGGCTTTTCAGTTGTTTTCAGATAAAACCACATAAAACATAACACTAATTCACCTGCAATGCCAATCTATAGTTTGGTGTAATAAAATCCAGGTTAAAGGTATAGCTCTTCCACTCCTTGTGGGCTCTAGTTAAATAATTCTTGGTTTGTGGCAAACCATAGATTGTTGTAATAATGAAAGTACTAGGCTGTAGTTCATGTTTGTTCTATGAACCAATACAGATAAAATCCTAGAAATCAGTGTTTCACTGAGGGGTTTCAGGGCAAGAAAAGTCACATTTTGGCATCATAAACTATAAACCAGGAGGCAACAATGTACACAAACAGTGCTATACAGACAAGGTTCGGCATCTTGTCTTGTTTGTCCAAACCGCACTGAATGTTTGCCATGTATGTGTACTGTGATGCACCCTGAGTCCAACTGGGGAGATAGGGTGGAATATAAATAAAGTGTTGTTGTTGTTGTTGTTGTTAAAAACAACTTGTAAGATTACCCCTAATTATACATTCATGGTTAAGTTGAGATTGAACAGGAGTTTCTTAGCTCATAATTCAAGACTGTAACCAAAATTTTTAAAAAATCTGCCGATATATTTGACTAGAGAATATATAAACAAACTATCATTTGATGATTTTACAGAAGAATGCTTATTATTAAGAACTGATTCTGATAGAGCTTTTGGAGTATAGAGGTTCTATATAATGCAAAAAGTGTGAAATTACCACTAAATTTGCAATCTCATTCTTACTTGTAAGTAATTCTTGTTTGATTTGTGTTGGAGTAAAAATACATAGGATCAGGATGTAAGATAATACACACACTGTAGTTACAGTGCCATGTCAATGTGGATTATAATAAAGCCACTGCACTCAAATAGCAGTGTAAAGAGTAATTTATTGAGCTGTAAGAATCTTTTATGACACTTGCACACTATTGCAATTGCTGTAGCTAAGAGCACAGAAGACAAAAAGTTAAGACTATAAAGCACTTCTCAGACAGCTTTGCAGATCAGAGTGCAGGAAGTATTTCAACCTCCTCATGTATTAAATATCCTATGCAGGAACAGATGAGAAACTATAGTTTTCGGGTAAATCAGAAGATATTGCTCAGCATCATTCTCTTGCCACACAGGACACAATGATGATTTTTCCATAGTTAAAACGAAAATCTCAAACTATTATAACTAGCAAATTCATTACTGCCTTTTTCAGAATGAAAAAAAAAAAGACCTCTCAGTCTAAATTAAAATGTAGTGTTTAACAATTTCAAATAATTCTAATGGCATACATTTGGCATTTCACCTTCAGACCAACGGGAAAGAGAAAAAAATACTGAAATATGCATATACCTATAAAATCATAGAGCTATCTAGTCCAACCCCCTGCCATGCAGGAAAAGCACAAAGTATAGATTAACATAATACAAAATAAATACATATGACATTATATATTTATTTTTATATTCTTATATTTTTATATTTTACAATTTATTTATACAGATTTTAATGGTTTAATCTGATTATGGTGTCATTTATGAGGTCTGGCTAAGATATATATTTTAACCAAGCTTGTTCAATTCTTCTATTTTTAAATGTGTATTAACTGTTTGCTTTAATTTTTAAAATTTGTTACCGCACATGGCATTGGATGTTTGCCATCTTTTCTTTTTGGAAGTTGCTCTGAGTCCCTCGGGGAGGGAGGGAGGGTGGGTTAAAAATAAAGATTATTCTTATTTATAATAATACTTTTGAGGCAAAACTCTGAACAGGTTTCACCAGAAGCCAATTTAGCTAACGCAGCATTTAAGATGACAATCTCAGTGCAACCAATAAACAAATCCATCTGACCAAAGAGGAAGGGTGGGGTAGGCACACTGAGGCAGCAATTTGAATTCTTGCACAACATAATGATAAAATAAGAACACTTTATTTGTATTCAGCTCTATCTCCCAGAGGGGACTCTCCCTCTCTCTCTCTCTATATATATATATATATACACACACACACACACACACAAAACAGGAATATAATTCATCCAGATCTGCTGCTCTTTTCACGTTATCCTTGATGGAAATTGTAGTGCTTCAAAGAAATATTAGAGCAGTGGCTCCCCAGGTGTTTTGGCCTACAACTCCCAGAAATCCCAGCCAGTTTACCAACTGTTAAGATTTCTAGGAGTTGGGTTGTTGTAGTTTTTTTCGGGCTATATGGCCATGGTCTAGAGGCATTCTCTCCTGACGTTTCGCCTGCATCTATTCGCCTGCATCAGAGGTAGTGCGGTCTGTTGGAACTAGGAAAATGGATTTATATATTTGTGGAATGACCAGGGTGAGACAAAGAACTCTTGTCTGCTGGAGCTAGGTGTGAATGTTTCAACTGACCACCTTGACTAGCATATAATGGCCTGACAGTGCCTAGAGCAAACTTTTGTCGAGAGGTGATTAGATGTCCTTGTTTGTTTCCTCTCTCTTGTTGTGCTGTTGTAATTTTAGAGTTTTTTAATACTGGTAGCCAGATTTTGTTCATTTTCATGGTTTCCTCCTTTCTGTTGAAATTGTCCATATGCTTGTGGATTTCAATGGCTTGTCTGTGTAGGAGTTGAAGGCCAAAACATCTGGGGACCCACAGATTGAGCACCAGTGTATTAGAGAGCTTGTAAACACTTCTGTATAAATGGAGCATTCCTACCAACACGCAGGGCGCATCTACAACAGGCAACCTCAGCCTCCAGTTCCCAGAAGCCCCAGCCAGTATGCTCAATAGCCAGGAATGGTGGGAATTGGAGGGTGAGGGTCTACTCTACACTCTAGAGCAGGCGTGGGCCAACTTGGGCCCTCCGGGTGTTTTGGACTACAACTCCCACAATTCCTAACAGCCTACCGGCTGTTAGGAATTGTGGGAGTTGTAGTCCAAAACACCCGGAGGGCCCAAGTTGGCCCACGCCTGCTCTAGAGTGAACGTAGTTTGGCCTTTCTGCCTTCTCTCCACACGCTCCGACGCCCAAACAGGGCCCAGCGACCGACCTGAGGGCTGTCCTCCAGCGTCTCCTCGATGGGCAGCTTGTCTATCCCGGGCATGGCGGCGGCTGAATCCCCTCCACAGGTCAGGCCTCCCTCCGCGCCCTCACGACGGGCCTACCTCAATCTCCGCCTCAGCGCAACTACCGCACGGAAGTCCCGCCCCGGCCCCGCAGCAGGAAGGAGGGAAGGAGGGAGCCGCCCTCGAGGCCCCGGCGCCGCTTCCTATTGGCTGAGAGGGCGGCCACTCCGAGGAGAAGAGCGATGACGACATTAGCAAACAACCCTTGTGGTCCTCCAGCCTGAGTTTGTTTCCCAAAGCTTCCTCTCCTCCTTTTGTAGACTTCAGGCACGGACCAGGAGCCACTCAGGCACTGATGCAGTTTGGCACCACTTTGAAACAGCTATAGCTATGAAATGGTATAGAACATGTATTGAGGTTCCAGGTTTTAACCTGCCACTTTTGGACTCTCGCTTGCTGAGATGTTCCTGCAAATATCTCTGTAGATCCTAAAAAGCTATTTCTTGATTTAAGGTGTTGGCTTGCTGACTGGAGAACAAGCCCTATGAGGAGCGGCGTAAGGAGCTGGGCATGTTTAGCCTGAAGAAGAGAAGGCTGAGAGGAGATGTGATAGCCATGTATAAATATGTGAGAGGAAGCCACAGGGAGGAGGGAGCAAGCTTGTTTTTTGCTTCTCTGAAGTCTAGGATGCGAAACAATGGCTTCAAACTACAAGAAAGGAGATTCCATCTGAACATGAGGAAGAACTTCCTGACTGAGAGCCGTTCAGCAGTGGAACTCTCTGCCCCGGAGTGTGGTGGAGTTTCCTTCTTTGGAAGCTTTTAAACAGAGGCTGGATGGCCATCTGTCAGGGGTGATTTGAATGCAACATTTCTGCTTTTTGGCAGGGGGTTGGACTGGATGGCCCACAAGGTCTCTTCCAACTCTTTGATTCTATGATACCCAAACAGAGGATGGGCCAGAGATATCAATGACTTGGTCCTTTAATTACAGGCTACTTCCCGACTGATGTCAGGTAGTGCTATACCAGCTACCTGACATTTCCCTAGTGGTGTAGGGCGTAGACATGGACCAACTTCTTTGCCTTGGGGCTGCATTGTGGGCCTGACCGAGATGGCTGGGCAGGGAGGGAGAGGGTCTGTGAGAGAGTGGGGCTGGGAGGGGGCAGGGCAGGACCCAGATCATCCTCAAATTCTCCTCCTGGCTTAAGGATGGGGCTGCTCACCTCATCCTTCTGCCAAGAGGAAAATTAGACATGCAACAACTGCCCCAATCTTCCTCCCCGATCTTTGGACTGTGCTCTCAGCATTATGCTGGGAGGAGGTAAGACAGATGACAGCTGAGAGCTCATAGCCACTGCCTTCCTCAGGCTGTCCTCTCAGCATAATGAAGGGGCCACTGGCACAGTCCTTATGCTGGGAGGAGGGTGAGACATGCTGTGGCCGAGAGCATTCCAGAGGACTCTCAATTGTTACGTGCCTTCCGCCCCTGTCCTTTCTGCATAAGGATGCAGCAGGCCACTTGTCCTTATGCTGAGACGTCAGGGACAATGAGGAGAACCTGAGGTAAGCACCCAGGGGGCCACATCCGGCCCCCGGAGCTTAGTTTGCCCATGCCTGGCATAGACATTCTGTGATAACGCGGCATGTCTCATTAAGAGCCACATCCACTGTTTTAATGTAGTGAAATGTATTCCACACTGGGCATGTGTATTCAGCAGCAGAGTAGCGAAGCACAAGGGCAGATGCCTTCACTGTGTCTGGTTGTGATCCCCAAGTTGTGCCAGTCAGCTTTCATATGATATTATTTCTAGCATCCACTTCTTGCTTGATATGCAAGCAGTGCTTCTTGTAGGTCAGAGCATGGTCCAGAGTAACTCCCAGGATTTGGGTGTGCTGCAATGCTCCAGTGATAATCCTCAGAGCTCGAGATGCTTGTCTGTTCTTAAGATGGAAAGCACACACCTGTGTTTTAGATGGATTAGGAATCAGCTGGTTTTCCCCATAATAAGCAAAGAGAGCTCCTAAACCTTCAGAGAGCTTCTGTTCAACCATTTCAAGGCTTCCTGTTTAAGCGGTGATGGCACGATCATCAGCATAGATGGAACTCTCTGTCCATTCTGATAATGGCTGGTCATTTGTGTAGATGTCAAACACTGATGAAGTCAGCACGCTCCCCTGAGGCAGGCCGTTCTTCTGTTTTCACCATCTGCTTCTCTGACCCTGGTACTCAATAAAAAGCTCCTGTTTTGTAGCAGATTGTAGTCCTTTTCAGGAGGAGGTGATGATTTACAGTATCATAAGCTGCTGAAAGGTCTATGAAGACAGCTCCTGTAATCTGCTGTCTTTCAAAACCATCTTCTATGTGCTGAGTCAGGTTCAGCACTTGTGATGTGCAGCTTTTTTCAGAACATACACGGGTCTATTTTTTCCATAATTCTGTGCAGGATTAGTCTCTCCAGAGCTTTATAAAGATGTAGAACAAGAAGATTGGTCTATAGCTTTTTGCATCATTATGGTCTTTGCCTGGTTTCAAAATGACTATGACTCTTGCTTTCCTCCAGATTTTAGGGATCTGACAGGATGCAATGCAGTTGTTCATCAGCTTCAGCAGCCAGCACCATGCTTTTGGACCAAAGTGTTTAATTTGTTCAGTCCATAGATCATCCAGGTCAGCTGCTTTGCCATTTTTACATTTATAGAGAGGCATTTCCAATTTGGTGGATGTGAAAGGTTCATGAAGGTTGTTGTTATTATCTCGTTGTCTAGTTTCCTTCCTAGTTTGGTGGTAAGGTTGGGTTTCCCGTTCTTCAAAAGTTGATGCACTATCTGATCTGCCTTTACGTTGGCATGGTTATTACTTTGTGAGGACTCATTGCTCAACCGTCTTAACAGCCTCCATGCCTTTTGACTACTCCCGCCCATATTGCCTTCTGTTATCAAGTTTATCTTTCTTGGCTTTAGAGGAGGAGGAGGACAAAATGCTTGCACTGCTTGAAGAGTTTACTCATTAAATTGGTCTTCATCATGGAGCCTGTAATACTAAATGTCCTTTGTATCAGGAGTAATGCCCAAGGTAGTGTGTTCTGCAGCCTTTCAGTATAGAAGCCCATGAGTAGGTTTTTACTATTTCAATAACGTGCTCGTATTCTTCAGGGAATGGGGCGACCAATATGATATTGTCATCTAACACATCTGAGAATTTAAACCAGCATTGAATATAATTTAAGACAGCATGGTATAAGGTTTTGAGTGCTGCAGTATAGTGTTGAGAAATTAGGATTTGAATCCCCACTCAGCAATAGAAAAAAAACTGTGTCACCTTGAGCAAGTCACACTCTCACAGCCTTAGAGAAAGTCAAGGACAAAGTGTTTCTGAATGAATTCTGCCAAGAAAACCCCATGATAGTGTCACCATAAGTCAAAACTGACCTGAAGGCATGCAAGAAACATTTTACTTATCTAGTATGTTACTTACTTAGCTAAGTGCCTGATACTAAACAAGTTGAAATCAAACAGGCATTACTTACAGTAATGATTTTGGTTTACATATATTGTTTGTGAACTCGAGATAAAAGTAAGAATTGCTCTTAGTATGAAATGTTTGTTCTTTATGAGATAAACTGCCTTAGAAAAGACCTTTCATACAATAAATTATTAACGACAACTGAATCACTTGGTCATTATGTGTTTAGGTATTCATTTTCTTCTTCTTCACTGGTTTGCCAGAAATTGTAGTACAGCAGCAAAATAGTCTCATGTCTCTTTTAAAAATTAAATTGCGAAATGAAGTTTATTTAATTCTATTGCTAGCAAAATACTTACTAGGGTGGTATGCTAAAGATACATGTATTGAAATAGTAAAGTGCACACCCTCAAGGTAGTGTTGTATTTTATTTTTCTAGTCTAGTGCCAGCTATTGTGATTCTGGCTGTGCCATTGAGATATAAGAAAGGGAGAAGGAGAGATCCTCTTAGTATGCCACTCTTTAGTTAACTTTCTGTCTACCAATTCCCTTATTTATCCTCTTGGTCTCAGGAAAACGACTCCCCTGATTCTCATGTAGTGTGGCTAGTCCTCCTCCATCCTACTCTTCCTGGCATCTCACATTTTAGTTACAATTTCAATTTCTTTTGACAAAAAAATAAAAGTTCTGTTTTAATTTAGTGCACAGTGTCCTCCCGTTGCTATTTTTAAAAAGGGTTTGATAAATTTCATGAAGGTATTGTAAACACTAGATGGCAGCATTATAGAGCTGTTGTTGAGTGTTGATTCTACAGTATATAACATGAAACAGCAGTAATGTCAGTAATGAAAACAAATGTATTCAATTTGCACAGTTCATCTATTTTTTCTGTTACATTTTACCATCTATCTATACACACATTTGGCATTTCCCCCTTTAAAGAAAATCAGTTGTATCAGGGGAGTGGCATCTATTCACAGCTAAACAATAGTAATGGGGAGAAACTGTTCCAAGACAGACGGAAATTGGAAAAACTAAGGACCAGGAAAGCACATCTACTGTGCTCCCTGACTTTCCTTCTACGCTGCAGAGACACAGATACCATCCCACAATTTCTCGCAGCCAGAAGGCACCCTGGTCATTCCACAGATATATAAACCCATTTTTCCTACTTCCAGCAGACCTCACTACCTCTGAGGATGCTTGCCATAGATGCAGGCGAAACGTCAGGAGAAAAATTGCCTCCAGAACATGGCCATATAGCCCGGAAAAACCTACAACAACCCAATAGTAATGTTTGCTACTACCCCCACACACGTAATATTGTTTGGATACTTCAGATTAAGTTTCAAGTATATGCTCAGTGAAATAGGAGCCTGCTTTTTAGGTTTTTAGTTTTTTGTATGAAAACCAGAACTTGGAAACTTTATTTTTCCTTAAGTACTATCTAGCGAGCACCTGGCTAGGTATATGCTGGAATACTTAATAAAGTGCAACAATAGAGCAGAACTAAAATCCTTTAAACATTAAGCATTTCCTCAGCATTTAAATCTAATTGACAGAAAAGCAGCATACACTGGGGCAGGGTTTGGTTCCAGGACACTCTCCCCCCATAGATACCAAAATCTGTGGATGCTCAAATCCATTAAATATAATGTCATAGTAAAATGGTTTCCTTTATATAAACTGACAAAATCACAGTTTGCCTTTTGGATTTATTTTTAATATTTTCAAGCTGTGGATGGTTGAATCCATGGATGCAGAGTTTATGGTTACGGAGGCCAACTATATCATTTTCATCAGGGCTTAGTGCGGGGAGAGGTACAACAGGTGTCACTTGGTTTGTTCTGCATAATTGAAAATATTTTTTGGTGCAATCAGCAAGTTTGTTATATTTTTGCAGAGTCTTTCTTAACTCTCTTGCCCACTGTCTGTATTACTGTCCCAGATCGATCTAAAATAGCAGTCAACAGAAATTGCTGCCATTTGTTGAGAGGCTGCAGGCTGGATCAATTTTCCCAACTCCCTTCCCATGCAAGGGCCCCCATTCCTCAAACACCACTAGACAAACCATTGATCACCGCCCTGCATGTCAGAGCCCCATGCAATAGGTTTGTGAGGAATTATTTTCACTAAATTGGCCCTGGAGCATGTGTAAAAAGTGAGTTGCCGTCCAAAATGGGTGAATCCAGAGCTGCCATATTTTCCAATATTGTTTCTTGTTGTTTCCCTTTATACTAATCAAAATCAGGGTGTGGATAATATGACAATAGTTATTAATGACAAAAAGGCTAAGAGAAGCTGCAGCAGTTTTGCTTGAGTGTACATGTGCAGCATTTTTTTCGAAAGAAGCAGAGCATGCTTGAGGACTGGGATATCAAGGGATACCAAGATGCTTCTTAAAATGCTATTGTCCTCCCAACTCTGTTATAGACATGTAAAATGTGGATCGTCTACAATGTCACTTTCAACTTCTGGAATGATTCCATGAGCGTTGCCTCCAAAATAAATCCTGCAAATCTCTGAGGAACACAAGCTGACAAATGTTGGCATGCTGGAAGAAGCAAAGACCACCAGCAGTGACACGGTGATCCTCTGCCATCAACTTCACTGGATTGGCCACATTGACTGGATACCTGATCACCGTCTCCCAAAGCAGTTACTTTACTCTCAACTCAAGAATGGAAAACAGAATGTCGGTGGACATCAAAAGAGATTTATAAATGGACTTAAATCTAACTGCAAAAATTGTGCTATAGATACTGAGAACTGTGAAGCCCTGGCCCTCGAGCATTCTAACTGGAGGTCAGCTGTTACCAGCAGTGCTGTGAATCTGAAGAGGCACAAAAGGAGGGCAAAAGGGAAAAACGTGTCAAGAGGAAGGCGCATCAAGCCAATCCTTGTCGAGATCGCCTTCCATCTGGAAATCTATATCCTCACTGCAGAAGAAAATGTACATCCAAAAGAGGTCTCTAAAGTCACTTCTGGATCCACTGTCAAGACTCTCCACTTGGAAGGCAATCATACTTGGCCACAAGTGATAGCTGATGACGACAAGTGCACAGCTCTTTCCTTCGTTCATCTATTCCACCTCATAGAGTAAATTGAATTAAAACTTATTTTCAATTTCACGTCTGATTGCAGCAATGTGGTAATATTGAGGACATAAGAGTTCATGGGAGGGATACTCTCTTGAAGTTCGCTATGTTCAGTGCTGGATTTGCCATTGTGCTTAGGTGTGCTTAAGCACAGGGCCCCGTTTGTCAGAGAGGGCCCATCTTCCTGCAAAAAAAAAAAAAAAAAAGAAGATAGATTTTGCTTATGTGGTACAATTCAAAATGTGAAGTAAGGGGCTTCATAACTGAACTAGCACGGGATCTCATTTGTCCTAAATCTAGCACTGACTATGCTGCTGCCTTTCCATGTTGGTGGGGGTTGCAGGGTTTTATAGTGCTGTTCTTAGGGTTTCCCATGTCTTTCTGCGGACACTGGCAGACGATCTTTCAGAGATGATGCCATAGAATATCCTTTACCATGATGAAACAATAAAAGTAATAAAGCACAACAGTATTGGAAGATTAAACTACCGGGTCAGAAAGCATTAATCCAGCTATTTTGGAAGAGCTGACAACAATTACCAGTATAGCTGTATCTAATAATGATTCTAGTGGATTCAGGCTGGAAAGGACATTCAGCAGCTGACATGCTCAGATGTGAAAGTTGAAAGCTGCACAATATATGTAATAGGAACATGGCATGTGAAGAGAACAAAGCAGTCATCAGTGGCATTATACATAGTGAAATGTCTTCTAGAATGGAGAAATGAGGGACAGTAATTTTAAATTTCTGTTCATGTTTGGAAAATGTTGAAAAAATGAATCAGACCATATGATAAACAGAACTGAGATGCTGTTTAACAATTTACTTTGTGTTACAAGTCTCTGTTACCTGAACCCTATTGGTAGTCCCATTTAGAAAAAACAATTTGATTAAACTGATTTTGTGTAAGTGTTGACTCACCATTCAACTTTTGCTGAATGGGTCTACTCTGTTTGAGACTACTCCTTGGATTCAGATGTATATACTTGAAATCAGCAGTTTTCAAACTTTGGTCTTCCAGATATATTAGACATAATCTCTCAAAGGCCCCAGCCAATTTGTTCAGTAGTCAGGAATTCTGGGACCTGGAGTTCAAAACACCTGGATGACCAAAGGTTGGGGACCACTGCTTTAGGTCATTATACAATCTCAGTGGTAAAACTTGGCCCATCGTGATAGATGCAAGTTCCAGGTGTTCTGTCACCTTCAGTACAATGGGGAATGATAGAGGTTGTCCAGAATAAAGTATAAACCAATCTGAGCTGGCTTCTATGGATATGCTTCAGTTATTGTTGTTATGTGCCTCCAAGTTGTTTGATTTATGTTAACTGTGTCACAGAGTTTCTGGGATTGGGAGTGTTTGACTCATCCAGAATTAACCAGGAAATTTCCATGGTTGAGCAGGGCATTGGATCTTAGTCTCCAGTGTTGTAGTCCTACACTTAAACCACATTGACTATTACTGTTATACCTAAATTTACTGTTACTGTTATACCTATTACTGTTATACCTAAATTTACTGTTATACCTCTCTACGTGGGGTTGCCTTTGAAGACAGTCCGGAAGCTCCAGTTAGTCCAACGGGCGGCAGCCATGTTTTTAACAGGAGCTGATCGCAGGGAGCATACAACTCCCTTGCTGAACCAGCTCCACTGGCTGCCGATGCTACCGGGCTCAATTCAAAGTGCTGGCGTTGGCCTTTAAAGCCCTAAACGGTTCTGGCCCAACTTATCTATCCGAACGTATCTCAGCCTATCAGCCCACCAGGACCCTAAGATCTTCCGGAGAGTCCCTTCTCTCTATCCCTCCAGCTTCAGAAGTGCGGCTGGCGGGAACGAGAGATAGGGCCTTCTCTGTGGTGGCCCCTCGGCTTTGGAACGCCCTCCCTATAGAGGTACGATCAGCCTCGTCGCTGATGGTGTTTAGGAAGAGACTCAAAACATGGTTATTCAAACAAGCATTCGGCTAATCTGTGGCAATTAAATCGAATCTTGGTGACTATGGACAGGAAATATGGACAACGAACTCTGGATTGTGATTTTAACTTGAGATATATGGGATTATTATTGGTGGCCCAATAATTTGTTATTGTATTTGTATATGTTTTTAAACTGAGATTGTTTTTAAAATGCTGTAAACCGCAATTGAGTCGCCGTTCTAGGCTGAGAAATTAGCGGTATACAAGTGTACCAAATAAATAAATAAATAAATAAATAAATTTACCTCAAGACCTAACAGCATGAGTTCTTCTTGAAAAGAACACTGAATTCTGGCTTTAGACCTGGACAGAGTCACAACAGGTGTCAAATGAAGAGAGATTATGGTTGCAATGGAGAACCAAAATGCTATGGCCTCTTTCACGAGCTTTGTCCTTGTTGCTTTATTGCCATTCTTTTTGTGGCAGGGGAATCAGGGCCTGAGCTTTCTACCCGCATGAAGATGGAAACCTGCAGACCTCTGATTCCAACTTTTATGTTCCTGCGTATTGTTTTCCTACCACTTTTGTCTGATAGAGAAACAAATGATTTTCAAAGGCATAAAGGGTGGTTTACACCTTCTGGTTGGCTCAATAAAAGTATCATCAATATGTCCTTCAGATTTTGGATTTTGTTTAATGGTCAACTTGGCTGCTCCCATATTAGCCTCATTGAGCATCAGCAATTCAACCTTGCTTTGTTGAAACTGAAGTATCCTTTCCTGTTGACTTCAATGAGATTGTTCTTCAAAAATTTTGTGCAAGTATTTGTTGGGCTCCTTTGAGGCAGCCAGCATATGCTCCCTTTTGATAAAGCTGCTTTCCAATAATGCGAGTGTGTATGGGTGGGGGGTGGGGGGAGCAAACAAATTTCTACCTTTCAAAGTACTTGGTTCAACTGTTCTGTAATCCAAACACTTGGAAGACAATTACACAGAGCTCTGACAACATTGCCAACCCACTGCAGTGTGCCTGATGCCAAACACCATTGTTGTTTTATTGACCATGTTCACCATTACATATGCATATGAAAAAACAGAAGCTTTTTCATCAGGATTACCCTAATAGCATTAAGAGATTATTTTTTAAATTTCATTGGAAGAAAATTCACTTAAATGAGATTACTTATTACTTGACTGGTTTCCTATCATGCTGTTGTGTTTAGGTAAGTGGAGTCCATTGGAGTATTATTTTTTTTAACAAAAAAACCCTCTGATTTTATACATTAATGGTTTTAAATAAAAGAAGTGTTATATTTGTGCAGTGGTTCTTTTGAGAAAGTTAAGTCTGATGTTCTGGTTAGAGGAGATAACACTTTCCGTCCCTCTTGGTGCCCCCCCTGGTGTCACCATTAGTTGCTAATTACTTGCAAACAAATAAACAATTAACTCTCGTGCCTCTTGGTGGGAGAATCTTCATTGACATGCTAAAACTTTCTAATAAAAGATTTTAATTAATGACGTGGCAAATCCAACCCCCTTGTCAACAAAGCTATAAAGAAGACTTGCAAGGAACAACCTGAACTATGGGGTGTTTGGTGCCTAGGCTGAGGACACAGGCATGGCAGGGAGATCACCGTGCCCTCATAATGCAACTTCTCCTAGTCATCCAAATAAACCCAGTTGTGGGGAAAACAAAAACTCGCCTTGTTCGTTTTCCATTGAAAGCATTTTGGGGATAGAGCAGAAGAAAGATGGCACTCCAACGGCAAAGCCTCACAGGCCCTGGGTGGACCAATGCAATGATGTAGGTAAGGTGGAAGCTTGAGTTCTCTGTTCTGTGCACTTTTAAAATCCTGTTTTCACTGCTTTATATTACAAATAGCATGCACTTCTTACTTGAATTGTAAATATTGGATGGTTATCCCTCAATTGTGTGTTTCTTAAGTTTTGAAAGACATGATGGAAAGTGTCACCAGTTGCCATATTAAAATGCTACATTGTGATTTCTCAGGAGAGGATTGCAACCCCTGCCTGCATATTCCTTCCATCGCCTATGCAATTCCTTTGTTTAATGCAAGGAGCTACCCAGAGGCAGAAGAAAGAGTTCTCAAATGTGAAAACTATTTTGCAGTCAATGAAAGGCTTTCATACAAAAGGGAATTAAGCTGGTACAGAGGCAGGAGGCCGAGGACCGCATTCACCCGAAACCAGGTAGGGATTTAGTACATTTAACCTATTCATAAGGACTCAGAATGGATGTTTTGCTTAGCACATTGTTTAGTATGTGGGCATTAATTTGGTAAGAATCCAGAAGTGTCTGTTTCACATAAAATCTCCACAATTGCACATTGATTGCATTAAAGGACCTATAAGTGGTATACGTAACCAGCATGACTAAGATAATTTAATTGGTGTCTCCTTAGCTGATGTATTCAAGATTAAGATCTGGCCTAGATTTTTATCAGAAAATTAAAACTTAGTTTGAACCAATGTATTGTCGAAGGCTTTCAAGACCAGAATTACTGGGTTGTTGTGTGTTTTCCAGGCTATATGGCCATGTTCCAGAAGCATTCTCTCCTGACATTTCACCTACATCTATGGCAGGCATCCTCAGAGGTTATGAGATCTGATGCCTGCCATAGATGCAGGTGAAAGATCAGGAGAGAATGCTTCTGGAACATGGCCATACAGCCTGGAAAACACACAACTTAGTTTGAACCAATTTGCCTATGTAGATTATGCATGCCCCATGTGCAGTGAAAATAAGTAAATAATTGATGTTATGTTTGTTCTATCTAGATTGAAATACTGGAAAATGTCTTTAGAATGAACTCGTACCCTGGTATTGATGTTAGAGAAGAACTAGCTCAAAAACTAGATTTAGATGAAGACAGAATTCAGGTAACTTTAAAAAATAATTGTTTGTGTATGTCTGCAATCATTAATATGCTTGCTTGGCAGGAACCACACTAGATGGAAATAATCATGCTTTGCCAATGTTAAAGAATCAGCCCTTTACTGGTGTGGTTAACTAATTCTGTGACTTGAGTTCAGAATACTTGGTAGGTGGAAAAAACAGATAATGTTAGGCCTGCACAATGTAATGCATACATATCAAGAAACAGGTGTGTTTTATTTGCATACCAGAAGAAAAATCCCACAGTTGGTAAGAAAGCATAAACATGATACTAGTACATTATTTAGAATTTAATGAGATACACACTAAAAGAACATGCATTTACGATTGCATTTTTGGAGGGTAAAGTTTATCAGCGTGTCTAGCATATTAGCCGAAGTGTTAAATCCTGAGCACTCTTGCTGCCAAATAAACTCAATCATGCATTCCTCTGAGTAAACATGTGTCGGGTTATGCTATACCTTTTGAAATCTCTGTTCTGAAAGAATGATGAAATTGACAATATAGTATGCATTTCTAAAACACTGAAGTAAATTTAGCAATCTGACAATACTGGGTATACTCTGAATGTCTACCTGCATTTGAAATGAAACTTTGAGCCTACTTTCAAACAGCTTCTTTATAATTTATGCTCAAATAATATAAATCCACTTCATGTTTTATTTTATTGATCATGCATGAGACAATGTTTTTATACCCAAATCTGATCTCCTCCATTTGCGTGTGATTTTGGTAGCTGGGGAGTGATGAGGGTTGCTGTCCTAAAAAGTTTCCAAGTTCTGCTAAACATAACCTGCTAGGTTCTGTAGCAGTTAGAATATTTTTGTGTATTTCAATATGTGATCAGGCACCCAGAGACAGTTTATTCTGTGATCTGTCCCCAGAAGTCTAGGCTGCTCTGGATCCATTTTCAGTGAAAATACAATCCAAACTTCGAGAGGCAGTAACAGAATCCATCTATACATGTGCATAAATATGTCTCTTACTTTTGAAGAAAATTGTTTCCCATCTTTCCTGACCAAACTCACACATTTCAATTTGGTATATGATGGGTTAGTATCTTATAATTTAAACACATGCAGATATGAATGGCCTAATCTGGTGCACAGCTGAGAAAGACTTCAAGTTGCTTGTTGACTTATGACAACTCCATAAACTTCGTAAGGTTTTCTTAAGCAAGGGATATGTAGAGGTGGTTTTCACCGGTTCCCTCTTTTGAAATATAACCTCTATCATGTGGTAATCATTGGTGGTCTCCCATTCAGTTACTAACCAGGCTGATTCTGCTTGGCATCCAAGATCAGACAGGATCAGACACTTATTTGTAGATGCATTAAGAAAACCTCTCTGATTCCAATGAAACAAGGTGAAGTGACATTTACATAGGGAAATGGCAACGAGAGAGGATTATGCCATGTTTACCCATGCAGAGGAAGGAACTGGCAAAATCCCTTGCCTAATAAAACCCTATGAAATTAAGGGAGTTGTCATAAGTCAAAAGGCAACCCAAAAGCACACAGAGACATGCACAGAGGCATCACTGTAGATCAGACACTTACCTGGGTATAACAAAAGAACCAGCATGGTATAATGACTTAAATGTTAGATTAGAAGTGCATCTACACAATAGTATGAATCCAGTTTGAAAACACTTTAACTGCCCTGGCTCAGTGCTATGGTATTCTGGGATTTAGAGTTTGGGGAGACACCAGCACTCTTTAGCAGAGAAGGCTAAAGACTTTGTAAAAATAAATGTACCATAGTTCCATAGTATCTAACCATGGCAAATTAATGGGTGGCTTTGATTTTTCCAGGCTGTATGGCCATGTTCCAGAAGCATTCTGTCGTGACATTTCACCCACATCTATGCCAGGCATCCTCACAACCTCCGAGGATGCCTTCCATAGCTGTGAGCAAAACATCAGGAGAGAATGCTACTGGAACATGGCTATACAGCCTGGAAAACTCACAGCAACCCAGTGATTCCGGCCATGAAAGCCTTCGACAACACATGGCAATTAAAGTGGTGTCAAATTGCATTAATTCTACAGTGTAGATGCACCCAAGGACATCAAGAGACTAAGGCTTGAGTGCTGTCTCAGCCATGAAAACACACTAGGTAACCATAGTCGAAGGCAAGAACAAATTTTGCCAAGAAAAATCCATGATAGGTTTGCCTTAGTGTCACTGTAAGTCAGAAATGTCTTGAAGAAACACAACACACACAAAAAAAAAGAAAATGAAACTCAGCTACATTTTGTGCAGTTTAGTCTCAAGTCACAAAGAAGCTGTTGTCTATTAGTGCAGCTACTAATTAACTAGAAGGGCTAGTGGTTTTTATGGAGCTCTATTGTTTCTGTGTTAGAATTTTCATGTTTACGTTGGAAATAAAGGACACGCCCTCTGTATCTTCAATCTGTGTCCACAAAAGGTATTTCAGCAGTTATTGCTTGCACCTGCTGAAAATCCTTTTTTCACGCAACTGTTAAGCAAGCATTCAAGAAACCTTGTCCCTTAATTCCCCAGGCAACCTTATTTTACACTAATTTTGCAAATATCTCTTGTAATGTTAGCCTGTCTTATTACAACTGTGCCCTTTCTGAAATTTTAGATTTGGTTCCAGAATCGCCGAGCAAAGCTGAAAAGATCCCACAGAGAATCTCAGTTCCTAATGGTTAAGAATACTTTCTCTCAAAACATGATAAAATAAGAAAAAAATCACTGAACTCTCTGGAATGGAATTCTGCTGGGTCTGTAATGATGGTGCAATCAAATAATTATCAGATTAAAATGTGCTTGGATATTTCAAATAGTTTTGAAAGAATGTAATGACTTTCATGTGCAAAATAAAGTGTAAATACTACTGTAACATGATTCCTGTTTATAGCATGACAACTATTTATCTTCCAAATTACATAGGAATGTCCAGGAAGAAAAAGAAATGCTTATTTTTGTGGTTAACTGGCCCAAGGTGCTGGTGATATACTGCGGAGACTCACAGAGACTTTACATGCATCCCTTTACATTCGTCTCTTAAAGGTGTATCAATTCATATTACGTAATCTAAGGGATCCAGAGGTTAAAGAGTTACTTTTAAAGATTAATTACTCTTGTTAATTATTGATTAATTACATTATTAATTACTGTTCAAGATCCAGGATTCTTAAATAACACTACAGTTAACAATTTATCAGAAGTAACTTTGCTTATCTATTTCTCAACAGTAACGAAAATTATATTTTGAGTTATTTACAAATGTTTCTGAATGTTGTAAGCCACTGACACTTCATAAAAACATCATGTTCTCCTATCCATCTCGTCTCTATATTAACACTGACAACAGGCAACAACATTTGGCACTGCACACACTGGTGCTTGGATTATATAATGAATGTCAGCATTCATTTATTTATTGCATTTATATGCTGCTTTTCTCACCCCTGGAGGACTCAAAGCGGTTTCCCACATAATTATTTAGTGAAGCTACACCGAAACAACCAAATTATTACCACTAAAGTGCAAAGGTAGTAATGAATGCATCATATAACTATAGCTATGGTTTCCTTGTGGCGTTTAGGAACTGACTGCAAATAACCTGGTATTTCCATAGTAGGTCTGCTTGTTATGCAAGCTCATTGAAGACAGTTTTATTTATATATGAAAAGCTTTGAACACCATATAATTGCTCTGGATAATTTAGTGATGCATAGTGGCATTGCCTATAGAATCACACTGGAAATCAAAAGAGAACACTTTCTTGTCCCACCAGAGTAATTCTATGGTATGCTTCACTTGCAAGCCCAAGACATTGGAAAAAGAGGGTTCCAGATTGAGGTGTTATGTGGTTTCTGGGCTGTATGGTTGTGTTCGAGCAGCATTTTCTCCTGACATTTTGCCTGCGTCTGTGGCTGACATCATTAGAGGTTTCTATAGGTTCCAGATTATATGAAAATTCTATTCCAGGAAGGGTCTTTGAGCAGATCCCTGGCATAACATGCAAGCCTACTGCCACTGGTTACTTGCAAGCTCTGCAAGGATTTATGTATAAATCAAAGGTACAAGGAGGGAGTCCTGTCCAGGCAGCAGCGATTCTCAGCAGCAGCCACCCAACCTCTATGAAAGTTTTGTACTGGCACTTTATAAGCACCGTTTTATGTGTCCCAGAGGTGTAGTGCCATGGCCACTGTCCCCAGGAAAGAGATTGCTCCTGTGATTATCCTGTGCTTGATGGAGAACCACTTCACTTCTGTCCAGGGTTTGTATGCACCAGTTGACCCACACCTATTACAATTAGCTCTCCTCACACCCCCATTTGGTCATTGAGAAAACACAATAGTATTATGCAACCGTTCTTTCGGAAGAAACACAATTCCAGTTATACTGGGGAATGCACAATACTTCCCATATTTTACCACCTGCATTGTTTGTTGGTAAAATAGCCAGAGTCCACACCAGTGTCATTACTCCAACTTGATGATTTTGGAACTTTTAGTGATTGAAAAGAAGCAAGAACTGCAATCCTGCCCATAATGGTGCTCTTTAAACCACCATTTGCATCTGGTGAGCAAAAATGTACACAAAGATTTTAGGCTCTGATTAGCATGCAGTCACTTGTTTGCTGTTTCTTTATATGTCTTAATTTTTTTAAAAACCAGTCTGGGTTTGAAAGAAGTCAGATGCTGGAGGGCAGTCTAATCTCGTTTAATCACTGTTTTACTCAAAACGAGGCAAACATTGGGTGTGATGGTTTGTGTTTTGTTTACATTAACAGAATATGAAGCAGAACTAAAAAATGTGAATGCTTCAACTATTATTTTGAAATGTAAGTTCAAAAATATTCATAATTGGGTTGTTGTGTGTTTTCCGGGCTGTATGGCCATGTTCCATAAGCATTAAGTTCCAATATGTTAAATTATCATATTTTCCTAGTTTCCAACAGACCTCACAACCTCTGATGCCTACCATAGATGCAGGCAAAACTTCAGGAGAGAATGCTTCTGCAACATGACCATACAGCCTGGAAAACCCACAACAACCCAGTGATTCTGGCCATGAAAGCCTTCGACAATACAATTATCGTATTATTTCGATTTGACTGAAGAAAAACTAAGATGTTACCATAATTATTGCCCTCACATTATGACAGAGCAAGAGATACTACTGCAAATATTTCCACCAAAGATCTAACCCACAAAACCAAATCACTACCACTACACTGCATTCTAGGATAATTCCTTGAAACAAGCTTACAAAAAATAGGTACAGTCAAATAGCTGGTTATGCCCGTATTTTTGAGCTTGTTTGCCATCTGTCTTGTGTCCGCACACTCTAACAAAATATGACACCTATTCTCTCTACCTTTAAATAAGCCCTTGTTCATGAGGTGGTTATTATTCATAATTATGCCTTTGTCAGAACAACCAAGGCTGATTTGAATAGATTTCAAGGCTGGGTCCTTGCTTCCCCTGTAACTTGCTGAAGAGCAGGTTGAGTATCTGTTATCCGAAACGCTTGAGACCAGAAGTGTTTTACATTTTGAATTTGTTTGGATTCTGGAATACCTTTATTTGCATACCGGTACATACTGAGGTATCTTGGAGGTGGAACCCAAGTCTAAATATGGAAATGATTTATGTTTTATATATGTACTTTATACACATAACCAGAAGGTAATTTGATACACAATGGTTTCAATAATTTTGTACATGAACCCAAGTTTGTATTAATTGGACCATCAGAAAACAAAGATGTCACTATCTCAGTCACTCATGTGGAGAAGTTTAGATATTGGAGCATTTCAGATTTTGGATCAGGGATACTGAGAGCCCTTCCACACAGCCCTATATCCCAGAATATCAAGACAGAAAATCCCACATTGTCTGAGTGTGGACTCAGATAACTCAGTTTAAAGCTGATATTGTGGGATTTCCTGCCTTGATATTTTGGGATATAGGGCTGTGTGGAAGCACCCTGAGCTTGTACCACAGAAGGACTGGGTTCTCTGAGGGGAAGATCTGCCTGAGCAGAGAGTGTAAGGCATCATACCCACCCTCTGCATAATAGACTTCACCTGAAACATTGATATGTAATTAGGCATGAATTCTCATTGTCAAGACAGATACATCTGTAGATCAAGCCCCAGTTACTCTCAACGTAAAATGTGGGAGTTTATATTATGACATTGGCTGCCCCCCTTCCACTAAACTGAGGTTTGTTTTTCATGTTAGGAGTGACTTGAGAAACTGCAAGTTGCTTCTAGTATGAGAGAACTGGCTGTCTGCAAGGAGGTTGCTCAGGGAATGCTTGGATGTTTGATGTTTTACCATCCTGTAGGAGGCTTCTCTCATGGAGCTGACAGACGGGAGCTCACCCCTTTCAGTTAACAGTCCTGCTGGCACAAGGGTTTAACTCGTTGCGCCACCGGGGACTCCACTAGACTGGGTGATGGCTATTGACTGGCAGCTGGAAAAGGGAATTTTAGTGCTGTGCTTTTATTCCCATTGTTATATTATGCATGTTTAAAACTGTTTTAAAATAATGTTGTTTTGAAAAGTATGTACTTTTCATTTTTTATTTGTTTATTATCATGTTTGTTTTTTCTCGTCATGTTGTGGGCTATCTTGGGTCTCATATTAGGAGAAAAAGCAAGACAAAATAAAAATATAACTAAACTTCACAACACTAGCAGAAAATGATGTAATCACAATTCCTATCAGCATGTTGGTCTATCTAACTGGAGAGACTCCAAACTTCAAGTTGCAATTACTAGGCAAATACTATTATTTTATTTTTAAAAACTCTTTATCACATTCTAAAAGATGATCAATGAAGAAATGGGACAGTTTCAACTAGGATGCAGACAGATTCTATCTCAAAGGATTCGCCATTGAAAACGTCCTCTCTGTAGTCCCCACAAAACATATTTCTGGGGTTGTTGGGCATACAAAAAGGTCTCTGCAGATTACTTTAATGAGTTCACACATTTATATGGGAAAAGGTAGTCCTTCAAAAATTAATTCCCAAACGTCTGAATGACTCACCTTTCCTATCACTTTCAAGTCATAGTTAAATAATGTCGTTAACAAGATAAAACTCTGAAATAACACCATAGTACAGAGTGTTCTGTGTACCAAGACACCTTTCATGCTACATATTTATACTGCTATGATCCCATTTTAATTGTCATGGCAACATCATATGAAATCTTTGGAGTAGCAATTTAGGGAGGGGCATTTCCAATTCACAGGTAAGGCCATAGTGCCTTATTAAACTACAAACCCCAGGATTCTACACAATGTTGCTATGGCAGTTAAAGTGGAATCATAGTGATATAATTCTGTAGTGTGAAAAGATTTAAAGATATCAAACAAGGATTACCATAGCACCACTCTGTTCTGTGAGTTCACCCAAAAAGATACCATACAAAAGAGTTTTACGGTGCATTAAACTCATGGAAAGTTCAACGAGTTGTTATTAGTGAATACAGAGAGATGGAGTAACCTTCAATCGTTATACTATAATGCTGGGTTTTACAGATCAGTTTATAAACTAGGGTCCTGTATGAAATCAGCTGTGCCATTTTTTTTTAATACAATGCTTAATGTACTTTGACTGGCTGGTCTAATAACAGGAAATGTGACACTTAACAAGGAATTCACATGTTTATTTTACTAATGTTGACCCAAGACGTTCTGAACAAAGATAACATCATTTGCAAATACCCTCATTTTGCTCATTGTTGAATGAAAGGTCATCCCTTCTCATTCAGTACTTGTGTCATTCAATGCCACTAATTTACAGTCTTTGTGAGTAATAATCACCAACTCAGGGTCATTTAGGAAATCAGTAGTGGACCATGATGTTATTTTT